CAAGTAATGCCACAAAGCACGGTCCTGAGCCACCTGCATCCATCGACTTCCTGCATGTCTTACCAGGTCGTCACTCCATCTAGTGGGGGGTCGCCCTACACTACGCCTACCGGTACGAGGCTGCCACTCGTGAACCTTTCTTCCCCATCGGTTATCGGTTCTTCGAGCTATATGGCGGGCCCATTGCCACTTCAGCTTACTAATCCGTTGGGCTATGTCGGTCACTCTGGTTTTACTTGCGGATATCCTCATTTCTGAGTCTTATCACGCAGTGAAACTCCGAGCATAGCCCTCTCCATAGCTCGCTGAGCGACGTTGAGCGTCCTCATACGGCCAGCGGTGAAGGACCACGTCTCAGATCCGTAAGTCATCACTGGCAACAAGCACTGGTTATACACTTTAGTTTTCAGAGATTGAGGTATACCTGACGAGAAGATGTGTCGTAATTTCCCGAACGCTGCCCAGCCGAGTTGAATCCGTCGATAGACGTCTCGGTCGAAGTTGGACTTACCTAGTCGGACTATTTGTCCCAGGTAAGCGTACTCGTCAACAACTTCGAGCATAGTGCTCCCAACAACTACCGGCATAGGTGTGACGTGGACATTAAACATGATCTTTGTTTTGTCCATGTTCATCTTAAGACCTATCCGTTGGGACACAACATTGAGGTCATTGAGCATAGTGCTAAGGTCCTCCAGCGATTCTGCCATAAGGACTATATCGTCGGCAAATCGAAAGTGAGTGATGTACTCGCCATTGATGTTAATACCGTATCCTTTCCAGTCCAGTAGCTTGAAAACGTCTTCCAACGCAGCGGTGAAGAGTTTCGGGGATATAACATCACCCTGTCTTACACTTCTCTGCAGTTGGATAGGTTTCGTACTCTGGTTCTGTACTCGGATAGCCATCGTAGCCCTACTGTACAAACACTTCAGCACTTCAATATACCGATAGTCAACTAGGCACCGCTGAAGAGACTGTAGCACCGCCCAAATTTCGACGGAATAAAAGGGTTTCTCATAGTCCACATACGCCAGGCAAAGTGGCAGATTGTACTCTTCGGACTTCTGTACAATTTGCCGAAGGGTATGTATGTGGTCTATGGTACTGAAGCCTTTTCGGAAATCGGCTTGTTCGGGAGGCTGGAAGTCGTCGAGTCTGCGTGCGAGACGATTCGTAATGACTCTCGAAAACAGCACGTAGACGCGGCTCAGAAGGGAAATCGGTCTGTAGTTCTTTAAGAGAGCGTTGTCGCCTTTCTTAAAGAACAAGACCACCGCGCTTCTGCTCCACGCCTCCGGAGTAGTGCCACCATGGAGGACGGAATTGAAGAGCTTCTGAAGGACTTCAAGTACCGGTGTTCCACCCGCTTTCAGAAGTTCCGCTGTAATTCCATCCTCGCCCGGGGTCTTGCCGTTTTTAAGGTGGTGGAGAGCCATTCTAATCTCGCTCAGACTGACGTCCGGGATATCATCGGAATAGTGTCGGATAAGACTTGCTCTTAGATCGTTATTCACACTTGCATGTGGCTCCAACGATGATGTGTACAGCTGCCCATAGAACCTCTCAATCTCACTCAGAATCTCAGGTGTCCCGGAAACGATGTTGCCACACTCAGTCTTCAGCCTTGACAGTTGGCTCTTTCTGGCAGACAGATCTCTGGCAAAGACTTTGGAGCCCTGGTTCCGCTCGATCGCTTCTTTAATACGAGCAGTATTAAAGTTGCGTAAGTCTCGCCGCATGCATTTGGAGATCTGTCTGTTCAGTTGCCTGTATGCTGTCAAATCTGTTGACGATTGCAGCCTCATCTCCCGTCTAACAGCCATGAGATTAAGAGTGTGATCGGAGAGTTTTTGTGTTCTTCTGCGGCGGGTCTTGCAGAACTTAGCTCCGACCGCATGGACAGTTTCCACGAGCTTGTCATACATATCGTCCACTGCATTGCAATCCTCTAGGCACTGAAAGCGGTTTTGTAACTCGAGCTGAAAGGTTTCGGGATTCTGGATTAGAGCACGAGGGGGACGGAGCGTTGACTTCATTAGACGAGACCTCTCCAACTTAACATTTAGGTTCAGTGTGCCTCTAACCATTCGGTGATCGCTGCCAGTTTTCACCCTTGCGATCACTGAGACATCACTGAACAGTTGGCGTCTGGTAGTCATAATGAAGTCAATCTCATTTTTTGTCGAACCGTCGGGGCTCGACCAGGTCCACTTCCTGTGGGGCCGCTTCTGATGAATTTAGATGTACTTGATATAAATAATAATAGGATATTACTGAAGTTCATGCAATACTAGAATAACATTAATCACATTATAACTTTCACTTGTTTTATGGTTTATAAATCCGTTAAAATAGTTTAATTTCGACGTGTAACATTCGCCTAAATATTGGAATATCACGTTTCAATCAACCACTTAATGCTATTACTTATTGTGTGATTTTCACCATTAGTATTATACTTTTTTAAAAATGTAAAAGTCCATACTAAAACTGGCAAGTATAGAGATAGTATAGCGGAATCCAACAGCCTTCTACGGTTTTTCATAATATGAAGATTGTCTTCTGTGAAGTGTCTTGAGCATAGCACACTATTTTTGGTGGGAAACCATTGGTCCCCTCGACATGTAGCGTCGAACCACATCTTTTCCTTTCGGGGCATTTAGGAAACCTATAACATATAGGTAGCACAATTATACGCCATTATTTGTATAAAATAATGACTACAAAAGAAAAATAAAGTATGACCAAACAAATATCGACTTATAAATCACAACACTATCGATGCACGGGCTGTAGTTAGACAAAGACAACTATTTTAATTTACGTAATGATTAAAAGGGACATATTAAAAAATACATCAACGGATGCTCAAATGATATCACTTTGCAACATTTAATATCCAGTATAAGTTGAACTCCGGTGCATTTGAAATAGTTTAACGTGATAGGAATAAAATTTACTTACCGATGAAATATTATGCTATCTTTTTGATAATTGGATGTCTTATCTGACTAGCCACACCATTTCACTGCATAGGAAGCCATTTGTAATTTATTTTGGATACCAAAATTATTTTTAAATTTTTAAAACTCGGACGTGCCTGCGGGTCACAAACTTGGTCAACAATGATATTGTGATTCTTAGCGTCACTTCATATGCTAGCTACAGCAAGTATGTGTTGCGCGCATATGTGGCCCTGTATGCGGAATCTATTAGGAGGTTATCTGTGCATTGGAAGAACGAGAAGCAACGAATATCAACGAAGGACGAAAGTACTTTGGTTAGGTCGTGACCAGAACATTCTACATTATGCGTTTCATTTTCGTACGTTGGTTATGTAGGTAGTTGTAGTTGGTTTTGGTTGGATATGTGATAAACGCGTATATACTTTGGGTTTATCGATATGATATGATATTTTGATAATATATCGTTATTAGTTATGTTTTAATATTTCGGTCTCATGCCTACTAATTTTTAATTTATGCTATGTAACAATAGGAGTTTTGGCGGGAACTTGGCCGATGACGGACTGTCGCTCCTGTTTTGTCGCTTGAATGATGGTTTGAAGCGGATTTTAATTTGTAAAAGTGATGTAATTTTGTGAATTAATTGTCTGCGCCTGTGAACTATAAGAGAAAACGACGAAACAAGTGCTTTGATGTCGATATAAACCTCAAGTTATTTTGATCGCTTAGGCTCCTTATGAACTTGAGTGGTGTCGTCATCAACTGTCCGCTGGGTTGAGCTGTCGTCAAAATCTCCCAAGGGCTTCGCAATGTGACGCATAAGCATATTGTGAAGAAAAGAAAAAAAGAGCGCGGGAACCTTGAAACTGGACTGATAAATCTATAATTGCCGACATAAGTCGTGAGCACACTTTTTATTGGTCGACACGACGTTGACCACGCTAACGTTCAACTTTATTGGTTCATCAGTCGATTCTCGTCGTCTATTGGTTTCGAACGTATCATTCGGCTTCCGTACACTTCAGAGCAATAATTTTAGTGATAACTTTTTTAATTAGTTTATTTTCGTAAATTGTTTTTGTTATCTCGTCGTTAATTGTTGTTTGTGTATTCCTTGTTATTAATTGTTTTTGTTATTTCTTGTTTTTAATTATTTTTGTTGTTATAATTTGAGTGTTCAGATTTCGGTCTAAATATGAAGAGAAGGAAGAATTCGGTGTTAAATAGACAATCCCGACAAATTCAGTGTTTAGTTACATGAAAAAATTAGGTACTGCGAAAAACATCATAGACGTATATAAACAGACTGCTGAGGTGACTAATGTGTGATTGCGCCCTCCTTTCTGCCATTGCGCCCTAACTTGCGCTCTCCTTTCTGCCAAGGAGGGTCGCGTTCGTATATGGCTTAGAGATTTGTGATTTTGCCTGACAGTGTACCTACCTTCCACCACAGTTTATCTGTGCTCATGACTCGTGTCGGCAACTATATATGGATTCAAACTCATAAAGATTATGATATAAAGAAGACTTGGCTTTAGTCTTTGTGGTTTTTGAAAATATGATGAATTAAATAAAATAAGACTTGGCTTCGGCCTTTATGGATTTGGAAGAGATAGAAAGAAGAAAAATAAGACTTGGTTCCGGCCTTTACAGTTCAAAATTCTATATATTCAAATAAAAAAAAACAAGGCTGTATGGCTTAGTTCCTTTGCCTGCTCTCTCCAGCGAATAATATAAACAACAACATATGAAACAATATGGCCGTCAACCGTCAAGTAGTCGATAGCATAGATAGTCGATAGTTTCAGGAGTTTGCGAAGTTATGTTTTTATTTTTATCTTTAAGTCGGTTTTAGTTTCGATATAACTATTGTTATTCATTATAAATGTTACTTATTATTGTGTGTAAATAATGTCGTCTGAACTCTGGATATTGGAACAAGATCTGTGTCGTTGTTGTCACGCGCAAGGGATTTTTAACAATTTGGCTGAACCGCGCGGCCGAAGTAGCCAAAAAGAGATCTATTACGATATGTTGAAAGATAGTTTAGGCATCAGTGTAAGTACGATACATCTTTTATTGTGGACTTATGGACTTAATCCATTACATATAAATTGAACATGAATGCTTCCATAGCTCATACCAATACCATCTTTTCCATCTTTTCCATCTCTGCACAGGGAGGACAACTCACTGGCCCATACCGCAAAGGAGAAAGCCGATCTTCTAGGCTCTTTCTTTGCGTCCAACTCGACTCTAGATGACGGGGGGAGTACGCCGCCGACCATCCGGCGGTGTGAGTGCTCCATGCCGGAAGTGCAGTTCACACAGCGCTCGGTTCGCAAAGCACTCCTCTCCCTGGACATCCACAAGTCGAGTGGGCCTGACGGAATCCCCCCAATTGTGCTGAGGACGTGTGCTCCAGAGTTGGCACTGGTTTTAACGCGTCTTTTCCGGTACTCCTACTCCCTAGGCGTAGTCCCAAAATCATGGAAGACGGCTTTCGTCCACCCGATCCCTAAAAAAGGCGACCGCTCAGACCCGTCCAACTACCGGCCTATCGCCATCACCTCCTTGTTCTCCAAAACAATGGAGTCCATTGTAAACTGCCAGCTCATGAGGTACCTTGAGGATTACCAGCTGATTAATGACCGCCAATACGGTTTTCGCCGTGGTTGGTCAGCTGGTGATCTTCTGGTCTACCTAACTCACAGATGGGCGGAGGCAGTAGAGTCCAAGGGGGAGGCATTGGCCGTTAGTTTGGACATTGCGAAGGCCTTCGATCAGGTTCGGCACAAAGCGCTTCTTTCGAAGCTCCCTTCCTATGGGCTTCCCGAGAAATTGTGCGATTGGATCACCAGCTTTCTTGCAGATCGGGGCATCAAGGTCGTTGTAGACGGTGCAAGCTCCGATTGCAAGCCTATTAATGCTGGTGTTCCACAAGGCTGCATGCTATCGCCAACGCTGTTTCTTCTGCATATCAATGATATTTTGCAAACCCGTAACATTCATTGCTATGCAGATGACAGCACTGGTGATGCTCTTTACACCGGCCGAGCCAATATTTCTCGGGAAAATGTCTCCGAGTGCGGGGACAAACTTGTGTATGAAGTCGAGTCTTTGCTGAACAGAGTCTCGGATTGGAGGCGACAAAATCTAGTCCAGTTTAACCCCCAGAAGACACAAGTTTGCGCGTTAACCGCTAAAAAGAACCCCTTTGTCGTATCTCCTCAGTTTCAAGGCACTCCCCTTGTTGCCTCAGCCAGTATCGGAATCCTCGGCGTCGACATATCGAATGACGTGCAGTTTCGTGGTCACTTGGAAGAGAAGGCCAAATTGGCCTCTAAAAAGCTTGGCGTGCTCAGCAGAGCGGGACAGTATTTCGTGCCGGCACACCGCCTGCAACTTTACAAGGCGCAGGTTCGGCCGCACATGGAATACTGTTCCCATCTCTGGGCTGGGGCTCCCCAGTACCAGCTCCTTCTACTTGACCGCATCCAGCGCAGAGCGGCTCGAATCGTCGACGACCGAGTATTTTCCGATCGGCTCAATTTACTGGCACTGTGAAGAGATGTTGCATCTCTTTGCATTTTCTTTCGCATATACCATGGAGAGTGCTCTGAGGAATTGTTCGGATTAATCCCAGCCGCCGAATTTCGTAATCGCACTACGCGGCAAACGTCCCGATACCATCCACACCATCTGGATGCTTGGCGGTCCACCACTGTACATTTCAAGAGGAGTTTTCTTCTTCATACAACCTCTCTGTGGAATAGTTTACCACCAGTGATTTTTCCGGAACGATACGACCTGGGGACCTTCAAGAAAAGAGCATACTCCCTTCTAAAGAGCCGGCAACGCACCTGCAATTCCCCTGGTGTTGCGGTTGATCATGGGCGGGGGTCACTTAACATCAGGTGAGCCGCATGCTCGTTTGCGCCCTCTTCTATATTAAAAAAAAACCAAACAGTAGAATAGTAGGTATTATTTATAAAAGTTTGTCAGCTGATTTCCTAGTGCTTATTCTTGGTATACACACATTAAAGTAATTTTTACAATCTGAGTTGAAGCAAAAGACAGTGCTCTTCATGCTAATTAGGTTCTTTCAGATGTTTGTCATTTGTTATTCTTGGTAATTCATCACATATATTTGCAAAATTCAGTTTTAATGTTATTTCATTCAATATGTCACTTAAATATTTTGTCAAACTTTTTTTTAATTTTGTTTATATAGAATAAGGGTTACAAATGAGCGCACACTCCACCCAATGGCAAGTGAATGCTGTGGCCCATAGTTATCTACGTTTAACCACTTATAACCATAAAGGTTCAAAATGCAGATGCCTTGTTACCCCTGAGGACTAAGATGTAATGGCTCGATTCTGCAAAATGAGTCTCTGGTTCTCTTCACTCACCATATGAAACACAGCAGCAATAAGCTGCTATTTTACGCTGGTATTCTGTGAGAGTGTAGTCACAATGCTGTATTAGTCCCTACTTTAACATATAGTAGTGAAAGTTGGGTGTGGCAGAAGAAGCACTAGAGTAGAATAAATGCAGTAGAAATGTGGTTGCTAAGGAGTATGTTAGGGCTGAATCTGAGTGACAGGGTAAGAAATTGTGTAATAAGAGAAGTGTGGGTTGCAAGATGATGTTGTGACCAGGATTAAGAAAGGAATGCTTCGGTGGTTTGGTCATGTAGAAAGAATGAATGCGGAAAGACTGACAAAGCAAATATATGTGGCAGAAGTGAATGGAAGAGTCGGAAAGGGACGTCCTAGGCAGAAATTTGTCGACCAAATTTGCGATATTCTAAAAATGGGCCAAATTAAGAGTACCCTTAACCGACGAGCATGTATGCGTAGGTATATGGACGTGGAAGAGGCGAGAGAGGTATGTCAGGATCGTGCCAAATGGAAGTCTGTAGTCTCTGCCTACCCCTCTGGGTGACAGGCGTGAGTGTTTTATGTTATGTAGTCCTTCCCCGGTCAGCTGACCTATTTGTGTTACAATTATAATATAGCTGCGTGGTAAAAGGTAGGGTATTTGAGTTGATCATTTAAATGGATCATATCGAGTTTTACTACTCTGATCTATGAGACCCTTTTGATAATGACTGTTATCAGACATTACTATACTCTTCAGTTGTAGATCAGAAAGGTTTTTAAAAATGTATAGTTTGTACAGATAAAGAATGGGATAATAAATGGTTGCTCATCAAGCCCGTATTGTCAACATGCACAATACCAATAATGAGGACCCGTTAATAACGGTATATCATTATAATATTATATTATTCGCTTAATTTGAAATTTTCTATTAATGAGATAATATTTGAAAAGAATTCTATACCTGGGTATTTATATTAATTTTAAAATAACATTTATAATTAGCAACATGCTCTGGCTTTTTCCTGTGTGGGATTTATAAACGTGGCATTATTTAAATATCGTAATATAATCAATTTTTCTATTTTAATAAAATCTCTTAATTATATTTATATAGTTAAAATATAGCTATATAAATAATATAAAGAAATATAAATAATAGCATTTGTCGCCCAAAAAATGCATCAGGGCCATATGTGGAGGTTTACCCGACATGTCCTGTAAACCACTGTATAAAAGTCTAGGATTATTGCCACTACCATCTCTTTACGTTTATGAAGTTGCAGTCTATGTACGCAAAAATATAGAATTATTAATAAAGTGAATAATTATAGATTAAGAGATCCTCACAGAATGATATACAATGACATTCCAAGGTCGGATAAGAATGCAAAATATGTGTGTCAGAATATATAATAAGATTCCAAAACATATTAAAATACTCAATATTAATATGTTTAAACACAGGTTGTACAAATGGCTAAGTCAGAATAATTTTTACAGCATAGATTCGTTTCTCTCTACCAAAAAGTTTACATAAATTGATATAGTTACAAAATTTTATTTTATTCAATTTTTATTTTGTTGACATATTTAGTAATAATTATTATATTAATAGTATGGATTGATATGTAATTTCATTGTAACATTCTTAAATTCCATATATTATTATTTGCACACTATTTTCATTATGGTGAAACATATGCGCTCTATCAAACTTATAAACTGTGTTTCTAAGCAAATAAAGAAATTTCTCTTATTATTATATCTCTTTCTATTATTATTATAGTCAGGTCAACCCTGGTATTACTTTCTCTTTGTTCATGAAGTTTTATTGCAATCAATTCAGCCATGCCGAAGGTTACCCATGTCTCACAACATTATTTTATTACAAATAAAATCAACAATAATTATGAAGAAACATTCAGAATGGGTTGTAGCTCACAAATAAGTGAAACCATACTTTTTTTTTGTAGTTTATAGTATTTTGTTATCATTGATTTCACCAATAACAAGTTGGACTGAAGTTATAACACATGCGAAAAACGCATGAATTTTTTTGCATTTTTTACTGGCGGGTGTGAGTACAAATAGTGAGCGGTGATTAGAGGTGATGCAATTTTCAATCCCATTCTTTAACCGCATGGGTAGTAATTGTAATCATCAATACCTAGATGCAACCTAGCTCAAATGAATGAATTATTCACAATTGAGACTAGCATGCCCACTATGACATGCTTGACATGTCACTTCTCATGTCCTCTTTCAGTTTCCCTCTGTCATCTTTCACCTGTCTTGTCCACCCATGAGTCAGTATGGGGTAGTGGATATTCTTATACCGCCACAACACAGTTGATATTGGAAAATATTACCGGCTTCACTATCCCGTGAGTCATTACAGTTTTATTATTATGTCTATCGAAGTCAGGGAAGTGTAGTGATAGTGTTATAATATCCACTACCCGTGATAATATCATTCTACGGGTGTCATACAAGGCGACAGAGGGAAATAAATCAGGAGATAAGTAGCAGTATCTTCCCAATAACATCTAAAAATAAAATACTACAGTTGCAAACCTGCTTTTGAGCATGGCAACTATGGCGAATATCCCCCCTGTGAGAATCTATGGGAGAGGCCATGTTCAGCAGTGGACTTTAATAGACTGTTAACTGTAATAAAAACAGTTCCACCATGGCAATTTGGTATTTTTTAATATTGTTTCTTATTGCTGTTAGACGGAAAATGAAGCAGCACTCTAGCAGATTTGGCAGCATACAGGCAACTGAAAAGACAGATCTCCAATTGCATACGGCGGGACTTACGCAACTTCAGTACAGCTCGTATTGAAGAAGCGATTAAGCAGAACCATGGCTCCAAAGTCTTTGCCATTGAATATCCCCCCCTATGAGACAATGTATGGGAGAGGCTATGTTCAGCAGTGGACTTTAATAGACTGTAACTGTAATAAAAACAGTTTCACCATATGTAGAAGTCTAAAATGTAAATTGTAATTAGAGGTTGTAAATTGTAACATGACTTAGATAGGGCCCAGGTGGTTTGTGTATCATCATCATTATCATTAAAAATCTTCACAAGTCCACTACTGAACATAGAAATGCCACAACACACGGTCCTGAGCCGCCATCGACTTCCTGAATGTCTTACCAGGTTATCACCCTACTTTTCTCTTGCATGTATGAGGTTGCCACTCAAGAAATTTTTCTTCCTCATCGGTTGTCAGTTCTTCAAGCTATATAGTCAGCCCATTGCCATTTCTACATACTGATCTGAGTGTCTTACGTCTATAAAATTATTAAGCAGTAAAACTTTTTTTTTCATTATAAATAAATTATTTGTTTCCAGATAGATCCAGTGCTCGGTGTGCTCTCTGAAGTGACATATACAATATGTGAAGCATGTATACTAAGGCTAAAAGACGCATTTGAATTTAAGAAGCAGGTTAGAAAATGTGAGGAAAAGTTTAAAGACTTTTGTAATAGGAATGCTATTAAAGGTATATCAACTGTATTTTATTTTTTTTTATTTTTATAGAATTAAATGTGGGAAATGATCATCCCCTTGACCTTTAATTTTTACTGGAAACAAGGCATTCCATCTCAGTCTATACGAGTTTATTTTGATTCTTAATTGAAGATAAATATAGATGACGCATCCACTTACAATCACATGGACTGTGTGTTTGTTTGACACCATATAAAAAAATGAGAATGCTGTGACTCATAGACACATTGGATTATGATTCAACAATATCCAGATGTGTCATCACTCCTGAGATTTAAGATGGAATATCTTGTTAATATTAAAAATTGTCCCAGATTAGAAGCTGACTAGAGTTTGTCTTATTATCACCCCATCTATAAGTTTGGTAAAATGTTAAAGGGAATTCCCACCCATTCTGACTTGACCTCAAAAAATTGATGCACAATGTTACCCACATTTGCATACATGCTGTAGACTATATCAAACACAGTAAAACATTATTATTATTAATAATTATCAGTACATAATTATCATGATAATTATTGTTGATAATTATCAAGATATATAAGAGTATAAAATTTTTTGATATTTATTACATGCAACCCTGCATGGGGTCCTAGGTTCTTGTCACTGACCATACAAAACACATCATTATGTTATTATTTAATGCCGGTGTTTTGTGAGAGTGTGGTTCTTCTTTCATCAAGCCAGCCTTCGGTCACATATCAAACTAAAAATAAAAAGTTACAGCTTATATATGTCCCACTATTGGGCACAGACCGCCTCTCACTTCTAAAAGAGTTTTAGGGCAAGGTGTTGGCAATGCATGTTAGCGAACTTCATATGTTTTCAAAATATTTTTTTCTTGTTTCTCAGACATGCAGGCTTCCTCAAGATGTTTCCCTCCACCGCTGAGAATGTGGTAAATCAGCACTTACAATTGCAATACACAATTTCATTGGTGCCAACGGGGATCGAACCCGGGTTGCTCGTGTACTGTGAAATTCACAGCAAGCACTTAGCCCCTGAGCTACTAGGCTCTCTAACTATAAATATGAATATGTTAAAAAGTCATTCATCTATTACAACTAGAGAATACAATCCCGGGACTGTCCTTGGCTAATCTCGGGATTATTGGGATTGCCACAAACAGGTGCAGTTTGCATTCCGTAGTCCGTTGCGCCTTGACAATAACCTTGCCTAAATTATGTTAATAGCATTTATTACATAATGACTAAAACAACCCTTTGGTATGCGGTATGATACATACTACACAGGTACAGCCATAATAATATGTTTGTCATAGAATTTAGAAGGGATTTCCCTGCTTGGATTACTTCAATACAATTCCCTTAAGGTAATTCCCCAATGGGGCAACAGGGGAATCACCCTATCACTTCTTACCATAATATTGTTGCGAGGTATTTCCCTTCGGGGATTCCCTGTACGAAAGTAGCCAGTGCCAGGTTATGTAGGTTAGTACATTTAAATTTTAAAGTTTATTATTTGAAATTAGGTATTTTAAATCGCGGAAGACTTTGTTAAACATAAAAAAGACAGTGATAGACGTCAGTGTAGAGTTATTTTTTAGTTGCGAAGGATGGGAATAGTGCTAAATGTAAGCGATGCCCAGCCATTCTCAAGATATTGGGTGGATCGACTAAGAGATTACATACACATTTGTCATCAAAACATAATGTCAAGATTATATCAGCTTCAATGAGTCAAGATTTTGAAAATCTGAACACAACACCACCAGATGATTATTTTACTAAAAGTGCTACTACTGACTAGTTACTAAAATTTTTTTTACTTAGGACTTGTTTCTATTTATGGAAGTATGGCAGCTGAAAATATTGTCTTCATATATTGAAAGAGCATCTTAGTAAATTTGATGTGTCCCTGGAAACTGACATCATGGCTATTGTAACTGATGGATCGAATGTTATGATAAAGGGGGGACGGTTTGTTTGCAGTGAACAACAACTGTGTCTAGCACATGGTGTCAATTCGGCCGTCTATGATATGCTTTATTAAAAACAATTATTTGCAATATAGCCCTAACTTCAGATGATACTATAAATAAACCAGCTGTGGCTGTTTATTATATAGACAACAGCCATGATGATGACCATTTAGAAGACTTAGATTGTCCAATTTTATGTCAAAAAATTATCTTGTGCGAGATATGCGAGAACACATACCAGAGTTAACACAAGATGAAAACATTAATGAGCTGATAAAGATAATCCGCAAAGTTGTAGTGTATTTCAAAAGATCGTCATTGAAAAATTAAACATTGAATGTGGAAAAGAACTGTCATTTCTTTTGGACTGGAATTTAATTAAAAAAAACTGCATTCCAAAAGCTCTTATAGATCTCAATTATCCAATTCGTTTAGATTTTGATTTTGAATTGGTAAATAAAATTGTTGATGCGCTGATCCCAATTAAGTTGACACAAGCAATTTGTCGGTGAGATGCTAATTTATGCACAGCTGATGCTGCTTTGAAATTCCTTACAAAACAACTGTCTGGCAAAAACTCAGCACTTGCCAACAATGACAACATCTCTAGTGGAACGCTTATACCAACGACGAAGTGATGATTTAACTGGCGTGTTGAATTATTTACAAAATCCACGAAAAGATGATGGAAATCAGTTATTATCGAATTTCGAAAGGCTTGATTTATTTCCAGTTCCTACACAGGCTTTAGTGAGGAAGCAAATAAAAAGTATTGTTAAAAGACTTAAAAGCCGAGATGATTGTCGACATCAAAAATAGAAGAATCATCGACGGGAAAACCAATCTTGCATCTCAGTCTTTCGTCCAAGCAACCAATCTGCCCACAATAAGAAGCATAGATGTTCAACAATCGTATCACAAGATCCTCGAAGAATACCCTGGAATCACAAGAATAACTTCAATGAAATTAACACCGAAGAACGACGTTGAGCATTTCATCGAAACCAATGGACCACCACTGCATTGCCGTGCACGTCCAATTGCACCACACCTATACGAACAAGTTCGAAAGGAATTCGAAAACATGATTGAGCAAGGAATATGCCGTCCAAGCAAAAGCCCTTGGTCATCACCACTTCACATTGTACCGAAGAAGAATGGAGAATTACGAGTTTGTGGAGATTACAGAAGACTGAATTCTATTACCACTCCTGACCGCTACCCAATACCGCGAGCCAAAGATTTCACTCATCAACTGTCAGACAAGACTATTCTCCACCATCCACCATCCACCATCGATCTCAACCGAGCTTACCAGCAAATAAGAGTACGCGAAGAAGACATAGAGAAGACAGCAATAATTACCCCAATGGGATTATTCGAATTTCCAAAAATGACCCCAGGATTAAAGAATGCTGGTCAAGCCTTCCAAAGATTCATACACGAAGTACTTCGTGGACTGGATTTCGTTTTCGCATTCATTGATTGATGATTGAAGATTGGTTTTCCCGTCGATGATTCTTCTATTTTTGATGTCGACGATCAACTGGTGATGTTGAAGAAAATCAGCACCGATGATTGGTTTGCTGACTTTAGCGACAATAAATCTCCATTTGAATGCTCGGCGTAGTTTTAAATCCAGCTCCATTGTTTTTTCTCCATATGTAGGAATCACTGTATTGTTTGCTGCATAGAGTTGAAAATCCTGTGGCTCACAACTTCTGCCTTTGTTTCGGCGGTAACACTGAGATATTCGCTCCGGTGTCGATAAGGAAAGTAAGCTTGCTTTTTTTATCGGTGACGAAAAGATGGTAGGACTTTGCTGTTACGCTGGATCCCGTCGCATCGAGCGTATTAGTTAGTTTTCCGTATTCGTATTTTCACTTTTGAATGTACACGGTGTTGTGCATTTTCTTGCCTCGAACCCGAAACGTCGATGATAGTAGCAGTAAGGGGATCTTGTTGTTGAGCTTGTTCGACTTCTACTTGCAGAGCGGTTGCGACGAAAAGGTGATCTTCGGTGTTGCTGATTGCGCTGGTTGTACTGTTGCTGGTAACAGGTGTGATGCTGGGAAGCTTTGAGCGCGGCGACTTCGAATGATAGCTTCCGAATTTCTTCGAGAAGAAACTGGGTATCATTGGCCTTGGTTGAAGCGCTTTCGATCATCGATATGTGTGAGCTACTGCTGTTTTCAATCATCTTGTCCGCCAGGAGTGCCAGTTCGTCGAGCTTCGTCTGCGTGCTGAATGTTTCGCTGACTGCTAATACCAATCGAACATGTGGTGGTAGGTGGTTTACTCACATTAGCCGTAGCGTTGAATCTGGGACTTTATCTCGCGCCAAAGTACGCATTTTGCGTAGGAGTTGTGTGGGCTTCTGGTCTCAAAGTTCTATTTCTGATATGATATGAAGTTTCTGTAGCTGGCGACTGTCGGATTCTTCATATGCAGAGATCAGACGAAATAAATAATAAATAAGTGAATTATACTGGTCGACTGCCGGTGGGTTGTACAACAGGTCCGAAATTTGTTCGATGTCTTGTTTCTCAAGTTGGGCGATCACCATCTGTGCTAGTTGCGCTTGGCTCTTCTTTAAACCATTCGTTGCGGCTTCAAAACTGACGAACCAAAGTCGTGGTTTGTCTCTCCAAAACGGTGGTATTCTCAACGATAGAGATATACCGGCGATTTCTTGTTCCTTGACCGGGTTTGATGTATATGTGTCGAATTTCTTCGCCTCTTGCTCCATAATGGCTTGATTACACTGATTTTATATATACTGAAGTCTTCCTTCTCGGTGTTCGTAACGGTATCTTCCTTCTAGGTGTTCGTAACGGTTCGTCACCACTGTAATAGTGGGGATAAGCGGTCCACTATTAACAGACTCCGAGTGGTCTAGTGGCGGAGAAATGAAACTACTATTTATGCGCAAACGACTGGTGTATAATATAATACAATAATAATAATTTTACTCCCCAGCCTATATTTAAATGTACGGCTACGTCGTTAGTTAGCCAATAGTAACAATTTTTATTTGCCTAGCCAATTACAGTACATACATTATGACCAATAAAGATTATTTAAAATACAACTATTATGTACGTTCCATTTGCCGGCGTGAGACTCGTGTTATCTTCTCGTATCTACGTCGCTGGACTGGGCTATAAAAGTTGTGCAGGCCGCCCCCACCCCCATTAAAAAGGGTTTTCCCAAAACCCCAGAAACACAAAACTTTTTCTCCCCCAAGGGAATAAAACACACAAACAAAAAAAAAAAAAAATAAAAAAATTATATTTCACACCCCCATTCCCAAACCTCAAATACAATTTTGAAAAAACCATTTAACCCCCCCAAAAAAAAAAAAAAACCCCCCCCTCCTCCCTTCCCTCTCAGACCCCCCCCCCCCCCCCCCCCGGCTAAAAATTATTCCAAAAGCGCGCGCGTAGTCGGCGAGCGGCGGCGGCGTGGGACACAGCTCCGGAACAGCAAGAAGAAGCGAGCTGCGGCGTTGAAGAAACGGCTTCAAAATGGTCGACGGATACATAACGATAGCAGTGCTGAATGATATTTGCGGCTGTTTCTTGTTTCTTTATTAGAACGTTAAATATATACGTCAAATTATCTCGCATCAATATGCAGCCCGTATCTCAGTAGCCGGGGATAGTTAGGAAATAAATGTTTTCTTCACCTTCTGTGTTATGGTAGCAGCGGGGTATATATTATTTATTGCCGATTAGCCTGGCTGCTACACATGGAATATGAAAAAAGAAAGGTCATCTGTTTATGATCCTCATAAACAGATGATGAGCTAAGGCCAGAAACCTCCCAAGCCCAAGACATTAAAGGAAAAGATATAGATAATTGATAAGAGTCTGAAATCCCCAAGGTCCTGAAGTACAAGTACAAAGTGAATCGGAGTTAATAAATAGTATTAGAATGAAATGATCATGTTCTAAAATGGAGGAGTTTGTGGATATTACTTAGAAACAGCATATAAGTATCTATTGTCTATTTCTCCAACCAGCGTAGAACCTGAGTGAGCGTTTTGAGCTGCTACGTATGTTGGCAATAAACTACTAAGCAGGCTTGGAAGTCAAACATTGGATGTTTTGTTATTTCTGCGATTGTATTTTCGGAATTCTAAATAGATTTTTGTATTGTCTTCTTTCAAAAGTATAGTTTTTTTGTTTGGTCTATTTTCTTTTGTTACTATATTGTGATTTGTGTTGTGCAATGATATTAAAAACTTTTTGAAGAAATAACTCAAGTTTTTTTTAATCATTTGAGCTCAATTAAAAACCACATAGTCTAAACCTGGGATAGCTCCGGGATCCTGGGATTACACATCTTAAATTCCGTAATCCCGGGATTGAAAAACATGCTCGGGATTATATTCTATAATTACAGCCCATAAAAGTTCATTGCGGATCAAAGGCCACCCCCAAGGAATTAGGGATGATCGATGTTGCAGAAACATCGATGATATCTATGTTGGCATTGATAGCTCAACATCGATGTTTGATGTTTATCCTACTCACAATATCAGTGTTGAATATTATCGATGTTTTTTGCACATGTATTTAATAGGTTAGAACTAGAGGATTATTAAAATAGACATGTCATTTACGGTATATTATTAATGAAATAAAAGAAATTAATAAACAACACAACATAAGAAATTAACAAATATCCAGTTCATTTTTATACGGTCCAATATTTTTGCTATTGTTTGTTGTTGTTGACAAAGACATACCTTTCAATCTGTTCCTCTGTTGATAAAGAGTTGAGCTAGCTTTTGAAAATAACCTTCCAATAATCGATTATAGGTTCATTGACATCGATGTTTAAACATCGATGATTTAATTTTTAACATTGATGATCATCGAACATACCTACATAGAATGCCACATGCTTGGCGGGGTTGAAAACAGCAGTTTTTTATTATTTTGAGTTATTATTAGGGCTTAGGAATATAGGGTAGTGGAATTTCTTATACTATCACTTCAATACATTTTTATTAATATATTACAATACTAGTTTTTAGCCATGACTTTGTCTCAGTTAAACACACATTAAGCTTTTTTTCATTACCATAGAGCCGTGGTAGCTCAGATGGTTAACGCTCGCTGTAAATATAACAGAACGCGAGTAACTCTGGTTCGATCCCCGCCGGCATCAATGAAATTGTTAATTGCAATTTTAAGTGCTGATTTACCACGTGCTCAGCGGTGAAGGAAAACATCGTGAAGAAACCTGCATGTCTGGGGAATAAGACAAAAAAAATATTTCAAGGACATGTGAAGTTCGCTAACACGCATTAGGCAGCGCGGCGGACACTTCTTTGCCCTAAAACCCTCTCAGAAATGAGGGGAGGCCTCTGCCCAGCAGTGGGACTTAAACTTACCATCAGGTAGATTGAATGTTTGTTTGTCACCCTTATATTTCAAAATATTTAAATTCATAAAGAAACTTAAATACATAACTTATTTTTATTTCAGTTGCAAGTGAAAACTCTGACAACTTGGATATCAAAATTGAACTGCCTGAATCACTGTCAGGTAATACTTGTCTTCATTTCATACTGTTTAGATTTTTTAGTTTTAAGTTTATGACATGCTATTATTCGCAACTCCATGCCTAAGCTTGTATTTTACGTGTGGGCACGAATATTGTAATTATTTAAGACATGAAAATTTCTCGAAAAAGTTGAGCAGTTATTGATGTGGCCAATAACTTCGGGGAGTGATCTCGGCATCCCGAGATTATTAGTCCTGTATGCAGCGTTATCTGAATACACAGGTAACACGTAGGTCAGTGTTTCTTCCTCCCTCATACATGCTCTGCGCAGGGGAATGTCTGTAACACCTATCTATGGTCAATAAATACTCTTACTCCCATGATTTTGGGTCTATTTCATACTGTTGCAGTGAAATTTGATAACCGTAAGACATGGGATTGATATTGCTGTGTGTTGGTGACATATGAAAAGCTTTCACCCATTTTCACCACGTAAGTATTGTAATAGGCGACTGTTGGGAAATATCGGAAGTATCTGATGGCTTCCGACAGATGGCGCTATATCATCTCGCTTGCGTCAGACATAAATTTTACACGTGGTTGAGCCACTCTGCAGCTATGTCATGGTTGTAGCACAAATGGGTCGGCTCGAACGGGGAAAGGACCACAATCTCACAGAATACAAGCGTTAAATAGCAGCTTAATACTACTGTTTCGTATGGTGAGTGTAGAGATATGGTTACCCTTTTTTACTGGAAACGAGGTATTCCATCTTAGTCTTCAGGGGTGACAACGCATCTGTGTTTTGATTCTTAATCGAGGTTAAATGTAGATGTCTATGGGCCACAGCATCCACTTACCATTCGGTGGACTGTGTGCTCATTTGTCACCCTTATTCTATAAAAAAAGCAGAGACAGGTGATAGACAGCAGAGTCAAATCCAGACCCTTATCAATTATTTGTAGGCTATACAAATACAAGGATATTACTTATTGTTTTATGCCGGATTCAGCACTGCTACCAATCAGCCACTGTATTACTCAACCATCAATTGCTGAATATGTGTAGCGGTCATCTTTATCCTGCATATCTATTCACTATTAAATCCCCTCAGATTTTATTATATCTGGCATGCAGACGTTGATACTCCCTTTATGGTAGGTGCCGCTATGAGTTTCACTCCGAATTCAGGTTGGACATTCTAGAGTTACCGTTACAGCCTATTAAAGTCCACTGCTGAACATAGGCCTCCCCCATATATTGCCTCATAAGGAGGATATTTGCCATAGTTGCCACAAGCGGATTGCTACCGCAGTTTTTTTTAGGCATTATTAGGAAGACGCTGCTGCTCATCTCCTGATTTGTTTACCTCTGTCGCCTCTTACGACACCCACGGGATAATATGGGGTAGTCGGAGATTCTTACACTGCCACTACACAGGAAATATAAAATTTATCAACACCTTGACCAGAGTCTAGATTTTGTGATTGTCTTTTTGAAATAATGGGTGCGTTTGGCAGAAAAAAGCGCTAGCAAGCGCTTGTAAGCAAAATGGCGATCGTAAGCGGTAAGTGCTGTCAAATCGTGAGTAAGTATTTTCCTCTAGGACATGATGTTAGTTTTAACCGGGGAACCTAACCTAATTTAAATATATGTTTGTAAAGTATTCATATTAAAAACTTACCAATCATGAATTTTTAATAACATGTATATGTTTATTCATGTCATTATATTACTTAAAACTAATATAGCACAAAACAACTTTTAAACTCTACTTCAAAACAAACAAATTAAATAAGCAAAATGGCGGATTATGTCAGCGCTACTGAAGTAGCAATCGTGTCCTGGCCGAAAACTATTTTAGCGCTTGTAAGCGCTTGCTAGCGCTTTTTTCTGCCAAACGCACCCAATAAGTAACTTTGGTTCAAAAATATATTAAGATTTCTTAATAACTTGACTACATAGCCACCTATCGGATCCTAACATAGCTATGAACCATTGTCTTGACGTGGGAATATGACCTCAATCAGTCACTTCGATCAGAATTTGCATGATTTTTAACAGATGCAGTAATGATTATATAAAGCTACAGCATGTGTATTGTTTCTTTTCAGATTTCAGGGTGGACAGTTTCGATGACGATGATGATGATGATGACAATAAATTCGATATTTTCGACAACTTTAACAGTAAAGGTAACATTATCTAAAGTACAATTAAATAAAACCTCAGAGTGGAACTCTCAATAACCTTTAGTAGGGTCTTTTTTAATGTCATGCCACAATGTAATTTATAGGTTATTAATATTCTATAGGAAAGGCCAAAAATACCTAATTCCATTTCATACTGCCTGCCTAGTGTGATGTTAAGGCACCTCTTTCCAGATATGGGGGAAGGCCCTTGACCAACAGTGAAGTGTTAATGTGGATTTTTACATGGTAGAGCCATGCTGCAGTTCTATTGTTGTTGCAGCATGAATGGGTGGGCTCGACCGGGTTAATACCACGCTCTCACAGAATACCAGCGTAAAATAGCAGCTTAATGTTTCCTATAGTGAGTGTAGAGAGAACCGGATACCCTTTATACTGGAACCGAGGCATTCAATCTCAGTCCTCACGGATGACAACGCATCTGCATTTTGATTATCAGTTGAAGATAAATTTATGCTCGTTTGTCACCCTTACTCTATATAAAAGAAAAGTTTCCCCTAACACATAATCCCAGCTTCAATATCGCATGTGGTGCACCCAACTGTGATTGTTGGTGGACGTCACACATGTCTTCGAAATATAGTGGAATCTCGATAACTCGAACCTCGTTAATTCGTAAAATTCAGTAAGACTAAAAAAATTGCTATTCCCTTCTGTTTTAGCCCTAAATACGCGGTATCTCGAATAATTTAGACTTTGTAACTAAAACAGAATTTTATTTACCTGTGTGGTGTTTATAGTACGTATTTATACTCTATAATAGCTCGAATTTTAAAAAGCAGACTCTGTGAGTCGTAGTTAGTAAAGTATAATGAGGTCTTACTTGTGATTCCCGAATTCATAGCAATATAATGCAAAAGGAATGTTAGTTGCTTCTGTTGTATGGTCCTGCACCAGTCCAGCCGACCCATTCGTGCTGTAAGTAAAATATAGCTGAAGCTGGCTCTACCACAAATAACTGTGCCATAGATTTACAGAATAAAAATTGTTTGTGCGTTATGATTTCTTAATATAAACACATGATTTTTCCATTCAAAATGCTTAAGCCAATTGCATGGTATAATTTCGACCACTACTTGTTTTAATAAAATTTCAAACTTTCGCCCAACTCAACACTGCCTCGATCGCATCTTGCAGCGCCTATATATTTGAATCAGCAAAGAAATATCCAGAATGTTCACGTAAACACGGGCAAGGTACCGAGCGTTCGAGTTTCGACTAGGCGCTGTCGGTTGAGTAATTTGTGATGTCATTTTCTCAATGCTCCCCTCGCTCTCGTTCCTGACACTAGATGGCGCTAGTTGACTTATTCATGCAACAATAATATTAATTAATTATTTGTTTTAGACCAAACAAAAAGTCCAAAACTTGATAGCGGAAGTAAACAAAAGAGCATAAACACAACAAAGAATAAAGCAAAAACGAAATTGGAGCAGATCGGAGGGAATCAGAGTGTGAAGAAGGAAGAGGCAGTGGATGAAAAGAAGAAGTCTGAGAATAAATCAGCTGAGAAAAAAAGTAGGTCTCTTTTACTCTTACATTTATTGGCTGTTTGTACGTGGATTTGATGCTGTAGCAGTCACCAACTATGTGGAGAGGGCTACATAATATTATACGGGTGTTGTGTTCATTTACAGGTATTGTCAGGTATATCAAATAAATAAAGTTGAAGTGTCAGTTTGTAGTGTCAAAATAACAGCTTTTTACTAAGGGTATGTTCCGAAATACAACGCAGTGTACTGTCCAATGCAAATGACGTCATCATTTGACTATTGTACTAGCGTGCCGCCGCCATATTGTGTCGGATATCCGGCCATAATAAAACAATTTTTAATTGTGTGTTGCCGAATGAAGCACGCCAGAATTTGTTTCTATTTATTCAAATACAAAAAATTATAGAATAATTGATGGTATATCCATTAGGAGGATATAATAATTTTTGGAGCACAAAATGACAAAATAATCACCAACATTTTTCCAAATGGCGCAAAAGTGTGACGTCATATACTGTCCAATGTTTTGGAACGAATCACCAGTATAGCGTCGATTCATGACGTCATTTGCATTGGACAGTACACTGCGTTGTATTTCGGAACATACCCTAAATATATATGAAAGTATATGGTACTTGTAACAAAAAAAAAAAAAATTATCTGTAGTTTTGTCTGTTTCCTCCGGCTAATCTTCGAAACGGCTGGACCAATTTTGACGGGATTTTCACTGGCAGATAGCTGATGTTATAAGGAGTAGTTTAGACTACTTTTCCAAATAAAAAAAAATCCAATCCATAGACATCCACATTTATCCTCAACTTAGGATCAAAATGCAAATGCGTTGTCACCCCTAAGAACTAATATTGAATGCCTTGATTCCAGTAAAAAGGTCTCTTTCTCTAACTCACCTCAGCAGCATTACGCTATCCTGTGAGGGAGCAATAAGACCTCGAGAGTCTTATTGCACCAAAGAATATATACTTTTTGCACAAAGTTGAACGGAGTAGTAAGTTTAGTTTGTAGTTTTGAATTAAATAAATAAATTGATTAAAATCTATCGAAATTCAAATCTTATCCATCTTCTTTGACCTTCTTTGCCCTTTAGCCTGTGACTCTGCGCACTTCGCAGAGTCACAGGCTAAAAGTCAAAGGGCAAAGTAATTGTTCAAAAAATTCAAACGTTTAATTCAAAATTTTTGTTTTTATTTTTGTAAAATATCAGTGCTATAGGCTCCGTAATACTCCGTTCACATGTTACACCATATTTTTTTCCAGACGGTAAATAATATACATATATATATATATATATATATATATATAAATCTATAGCCTTTGTATTGCTTCTTTTCAGATTCCATGGATGATTGGTTCGATGATGACGATGATGACGATGATGATGATGGTTTCGACAATTTCGACAACTTCGACAGCGAAGGTAAATATTATAATATTATATAATTTATACATATAAATACAAAACAATGTCGCTTCTGTATCCTTAGATCTTTTAAACTAGTACACAATGGGTTTTGATGCGGTTTTTTTAATAGACAGAATGATTCAAGAGGAGGGTTTACATGTATACATGCGCATTTTGTCGAGATCCAAAAATCACCTGTGTGAAGCCGGGGAAGATCACTAATCTATACAGATAAATAAAACTGAACTGTCTGTTTGTAATGTCAAAATAACAGCTTTTGCATACCTTTTTACCTTTGAAAACTTTATTAAACTAAGTTTTTATAAAATAATAATTAAAATTATAATATTTACGATTAAAAATAATTATATACAATATACAAGAAGAAACTATAATATAGAAAATCTAAAACTAATAATTTAAATAGTCAAAAAGACCTGCTCGCCGTGGTGTAGTGCCAAGAACGCTGGCTGTGTTTCTTTGCTGAATAGCTATACTTAGCCTTTGAGCGAGGAAAGAACCAGCCCTCTTATCACCAGCAGCGACGATCAGTCGTGGATACAGTTCCTTTAGAAACTTCATTGCACGTGGACCCCACGGACCGATAGTCTCTACAGCAAATGGCACAAATATGTAGTCATTTCTCAAAGACTCATATTTGCGCCATTTACTAAATTCGGCTGCCTCTGATGCCGCCCCGGCTTTAAAAGAAGTACCCTTGAGATGAGAGGCCGCCAAAGTGTCAACGCAAGTAGCATCCCACACTAGGGCTTTACCTCTCTCCCAAGGGACCAAAGTCGGGTCTCTTGCCATTGTCTCTAAATATCCCGCAAACTCTAAAACCGAGGGGACATTTATGGAGACAAGAGCCCTTCGGATGATTTCGTTCAAAGAACCGTGACGGGAAAACCTACCTGCACTTTTCTTCGACGCTGCTACCACAGGGGCACTGGTGAGGTTGACAAATTGCCACTCCTAGCCGGATTGTGAATGTGCCGAGATTACTTGATGGTAGAGCATGTAGCCAGTGGCTAGATTCCTTAGTCGAAACAGTTAGAAGGCGAGCCTGATCTTGTTGACTGTAGAAATTTTGAAATAAATTTTTCTGGACACTCCGTACCAACGGAATATCCCACTGTTTTTGTTGGTTAACTTCCAGTGTGACATTTTCGCCGGGACAGAGCGTTAGCCATGGTTGCCTTGCTTCCGCAGCAAAGCACAGGTCTACTTTATTATTTAAAATTGTGTTACATAGATCATTGACACTGTGCACGGAAGCAAGGAAGGCAGGCAATGCGACGCTAGAAATATTTCTTACACCAATTCCACCAAATTTGGTAGGTAAAGTGGCTTGATTCCAGGCTATTGTATTTAATCTCAAATTTAGAATTTTTTCTAAAGCAATTTTAAGATTACTATCAATATCTTTTAAAATATCCGAACATATCCAGACTGGACTTGAGCGTAACAAGTATGTAAATTTAGGTACAAGGAGACAATATTTTAAAACGGTAGGGCAATATGGGGGTTTAAAATATATAATTTATCAACGTGATTTAAAAATTGATCAAATTTTGTTTTTAAAACAGGTTTAATACTATCGAAAAACAACGGAGCACCGAGTAGGTAAAGCGATTCCGAATTGACAGTTTTTATTCCTGGAGAAATCTGATTGAAATTTTGAATTAAGGTATCTCTGTTAGAATTAGATAAATTATTAGAAATATTATTATTGGTATTTGGTTCAAGACCAATATTTTTAAAATTTTGAAAAATATGAGTAAGATCATTGAGGACGTCATCTGCTTTACCTCCCAGTGTACCGTCGTCCAGATACCAGACATTCAGCTTGGATTTTAAATTTGAAATAATAGGTTGAAGTCCCAAACTGAAAAGAGCTGGACCTAATGGATCACCCTCCTGAACACCGACAGCAGACTCAATAATATGGTTTTGATAAAACAAGTTTGAATTTTGACTGTAACATTTCCAAACGTGATGATATATTTCGGGGGTATTGTTAGCCACTTCTTTCAGCAGGGTGTACCCTATCAACAGAGTTAAAAGCATTTCTAAGATCAACCTTCAGAAGAACATCTGCATTGGAATTAGTTAAGAAAGTACGCACCGAATGTACCGCCGCCTCACAGCCACCTTTGGTGCCGAAGCCTAGTTGACTAGGTTGAAATTTTGTCTTAAGGTTTACGATTATGTGCCTGCAAGCTAATTTTGAAGTTAAGCGTCGAAATGTAGAACCAACAGCAATAGGACGGATACCGTTATCCTTTTTTTTTTGAAGGCACACAATCTTGCCACATATAAGTAGGGAATGAAATTGGGATTGACATTACCAGAAAGCATAAAATTACATAATTTTGTAATGTCATTAAGAAGTACCCTACCGGCGTCACCGGCAGATACGCTTACAAGATCTTTGAGATGCTGAGGCGTAATCCCGTCAATGCCGCCGGCAGAGCCACTCGAAAATGACGAAGGATGTTTCTGACGAAGGCCTTCAAGAGTTTCGACATTACGAGGAGCGAGGATGTCATCAGAGAATAAAATACGGGATGCATTTTTTAAGTCGCCGTCCATTACTTTTGATTCAACAACTTTTTTTAAATCAAATTTAGGATAAGGTCGAGAGAAATGAGTATTAATCGTGTAATCCAAATTTTGAAAAGAATTTTCTTTTAGTTGAGACGTAATTGATTTATTTATTGTTTTATTAAAATGAAAATGGGAATACGCGAATGTAAATAATTTTTGCCAACTCTTTTCACAATTCGTTAGACAATTTTGAATAGTGAATGATAATGCTTTAGCAAGTTGCATCCTCGCACCTCTGGGAATTCTTTTAACCACATCTTTTTATTAAATGCATTTGAAACTATTTACAGTACTGATAACAAAAACACAATTTTTAAAATTTTTGTCTGTCCATCTGTCAGTTTGTTCCGGCTAATCTCTGACACGGCTGGACCGATTTTGCCTGGACTTACACTGGCAAACAGCTGATGTTATAAGCAGTAACTTAGGCTACTTTTACTTTAGAAAAATAATTCCGCGCAAAAAAAAAAAAACAAGTTACACGAGGGTGAAGTCGCAGGGAACAGCTAGCTATACATATAGATAAAAATTGAAGTGTCCATCTGTAATATTGAAATAATTGACTTGGGGTTATTTTTTTGTAATAGGATAGGGTGACAAACGAGCATACAGTCCACTTGACGGTAAGTAGTTGCTGTGGCCCATAGACATCTACATCTATCCTCGTTCACAAACAAAATGTAGATGCGTTGTCACCCGTGAGGACTAAGATGGAATGCCTCGTTTTTATTAAAAAGGGTCTCCGGTTCTCTACACTTACCATACGAATCACAGCAGCGTTAAACTACTATTTTACGCTGGTATTGTGTGAGAGCGTGGTTCTTCCCCAGTCGAGCCGACCCATTCGTGCTACAACTATACTGCTAATATAACTGCAGCATGGCTCTACCATGTATTATTACATGCTATTAAGATATAAATAACTACTTTACTGTTTGTATGTTTGGGCTAATCTTTGAAATGGCTGAAACAATTTTTTTTATAGAATCAGGGTGACGAACGAGCACGCAGTCCATGTGATGGTAAGTGGATGCTGTGGCCCATAGACATCTACATTTATCATTGATTAAGAATCAAAATGGAAATGTACTGTTACCCTTGAGAGCTAAAATAGTATGTATTGTTCCCAGCTAAAAGGGTCTCTGGTTCTCTACACTCCGTTTCCATTTCAACTTAGTATTCAAGGCTCAGCTTAGAGCTCATTATACGATTGTATTAATATGTGAACTTCGTAAATTGTGTTACCTTATTTCAATATGTATTATAAATGGAGGTGAATGAAACTATATTATCATTCAAAAGGTGCAAATATTTGCAGAATTCCCGTAATATATGCACAAGATTTTTCATGAAGTTTAAGGAATGGTTCCGTATAGTGGCGGTGTAAAAATATCCACTACCCCATATCGTCCCGTGTGTGTCGTAAGAGGCGACAGAGGGAAATTGAAACAGGTGATGGGCAGCAGCACAAAATAATAGAAGACTACAGTTGCCAACCCGCTTGCCAAGCGTGGCGACTATGGCAAAATCCTCCCTATGAGTTAATCTATAGCGAAGGCCAATGTTCAGCAGTGTACTTTTATAGGCTACAATGGTAGAGATTGGTCTAATAAAGAGCGGAAGGGATACCAGTTTAAATAAAATAATAAAACATTTTATAAAATTATCTGTTATAGACCAAATAAAGAAAGATACAAGTCCAACACTGGATAGCGGCAGTAGACAAAAGGGGAAAATCACAAAGACCAAAGCGAAAACGAAATCGGAGCAGAAAAAAGGGAAGCAGAGTGTGGAGGAAGAGGCAGCGGATGGAAAGAAGAAAACGGGGAACAAATCAGCTGAGAAAAAAGGTAGGTCTCTTTCACTCTTCATTTATTGGCGGTTTGTACGTGGATTAGGTACTATAGTAGTCATCGACTACGTGGAGAGGTGTTTTATACAGTGTCGTCGAGTTTATTTACAGGCTGTCGTCGAGTTTATTTACAGGCTGTTGTCAATTTCATATACAGGCTGTTGTCAATTTCATATACAGGCTGTTGTCAATTTCATATACAGGCTGTTGTCAATTTCATATACAGGCTGTTGTCAATTTCATATACAGGCTGTTGTCAATTGCATATACAGGATGTTGTAAATGGTTATATATAGGTGTTGTAAATTTTTCTATATAGGTTGTTGTTGAATTCCATATCCAGGTGTCGTCAAGTTCAGATTTTTATGTTGTTTTAGTAAATATTGCACATGATGGAGATGAATCGTTTTTTTAGCTAAATTTTAAAATGATTAAATTTAAGAAGTTTTAAATTTATTTTTGTGTTTTACCATTGATACATATCCACGTACAAACGGCCGCTTTTGTGCAAACTTGTGACGTCTCTAAATACTAAAACATTCCATCAATAATTGAGAAAAATAAAAGCGTTATTGAAACCAGCTTAAATAAATCATCATTCCTAACCCATACGACTGCAGGTAATTCAAGAAACGCGCTTACTTCTTTTTAAAAGTACCTGCAATTCCTTTGGTGTTGCAGTTGTTCATAGACGGCGATCGACACTTATTATCACGTGAGCCGCATGCTCGTTTGCCTATTCTTATATAAAAAAATCATCTCACTTACAATATAACTTCACCGCTGGAGATGGGCTTTTTCTGTTTAAGGCAGGAGTGCCTTAATTGTTACGCTTTTTTTATAGAATATGGGCGACAAAAGAACAGTCCACCTGATGGTAGTGGATGCTGGGGCCCATGACATCTCCATTATCCTCGATTAGGAAATAAAATGGAATGCATTGTCACCCGTGAGGACTGAGAAGGAATGCCTCGTTTCCAGTAAAAAGGGTCTCCGGTTCTCTATGGTCATCGTACGAAACACAGCAGCATCAAGGCGCTATTTGACGCTGATATTTTGTGAGATTTCTTGTTCTTATCCCGGTCAAGTCGACCCGTTGGTGCTGCAACCGTAATATAGCTGTATTGCGTCTCTACCATTTTAAAATTGCGCTTGGTTAGATGATTAACGATGGCAAGTACCAGGCATCTTTGAGGCTATTATCCATCACCGGTCTGGGTATTCTACGTTTGATGTAAAACTCCTTTTTACATCAAACGTAGAAGTTCAGTTGCGGTGTACGAATGTCCACTACCCCATATCATCTCGTGGGTGTCGTAAGAGGTGACAGAGGGACACAAATCAGGAGATTGGCAGCGGCGTCTACCTGATAACGACTGAAAATAAAAAACTGCGGTTGCCAATACGCTTGCCAAGTGTGACAACTATGTCAAATATCGCCGTTATGAGGCAATCTATGGGATAATTGATAGAATCAGGCGTTACTTTGCCGAAATCCATTATAATAAATGATATTAATAGTTACTTTGCAATCATCCGCTCAATTAAATACAATGATGATGTGATACCTAGTTTGAAGAGCACCTCCCGCCCTCCTTCAATTGCGTGAACTAATCCCGTCAACACTAATCCCAGCACCACTACTCCCAACACCATTACTTCCAACACCACTACTCCCAACACCACTATTCTAGGAAAGACACACCATCGACGATAATACGACGCGTGTTTCGCCTCTACACGAGGCATCTTCCAGTGATGTAGACTCTACGGCGGCTAACCGTTAAGACTTAGCGGTCAGCCGCTGTAGCTTAACACGTGTATTATCGTCGATGGTGTGTCTTTCCTAGAATAATGTTGTTGGGAGTAGTGGTGCTGGCATTGGTGGTGACGGAATTAGTGCACGCAATTGAGGGAGGGCGGGAGGTGCTCTACGGTCACTCTTGGTTGTATTCACGATCGTAGTAACAGACGTGACCAACTTTTAACGTATTGACCGTCATCAGTCTGAGTATTTTACGTCTGCAGTGGTGGACCGTCAAGCTACCACACCATCTGGCAGCTTGGCGGTCCATCACTGTACGTTTCACTAGGAGTTTTCTTCCGCGTACGACCTCTCTGTGAGAGTAGTTAACCACTGGCGATTTTGCTGACGATACGACGCACCTGCAATTCCCCTGGTGTTGCGGTTGATCATGAGCGGCGGTAGTCACTTAATATCAGGTGATCCGTATGCTCGTTTGCCCCCTCTCCTATAAAAAAATAAGATGCTTACACCGGTGTTGGCAGCACTAATTGGCGAAGGCAAAGACATTTTTCTAGAATATTCTATAGTCAGTTTCTTTTAGATTTCGATTAGATTCTCTTACGCTAAAACCCCTAGCTTAATGGATGAGTGAAGACTATGGACGCAGCAAAACAAATGAAATCATTTATTTGCAATCCAAGTGTACATAATTGGTCTTAAATTAAAAATGTGCTTACAACTTAGACACCGCATTGCAATTTTCAGGCATTGCAAATTTGTCGAGGTCACTGCTTGTACTTAAAATATAAAAAATACTTAGAAGCTAGATGAATATAATACACAATAGTGTTATTTTTTGTTCTATAAATACTCCTGCACTGAGTAGAAGGGTTTTTGTTTTTAAACATTTACTAAGGCTTGATTGAAATTTAGTTAATTCTGATATGTTTTTTATTTTCTGTGGTAATTTATTATAAACTTGTTAGTTAGGGGAGCGCCGCCATTTTGAGGTCGTTTTGTTGCTTACGTACACGTGTTAACGTTAAACACATGGCCGTATCCAAGACAGCCACACCCAGATTTTGTCTTTCCATTTTCTATTAATAATATATTTTAGTATTTCGATACGTCACAAGTAATTGCACAATTGTGTGTCTATTTTTATTTAATAATAATGTATAATGTATTATCTAGTGTACTAGAGTGTATGTTAAACTAAAGCAATCAATAGGAACAAAATACAACTTAATTTTTTTTCGTAAATGTTGTAAATATGACGTCTATAAGTAATAAGACCCAAGGCGGGCGATATTGGGTCTTATGGCCGCTTTTGTACGGTAAGTCTTCGACAAGACTCCAATCGGATTGTTTGAAACAATTTTTTAGAGAAATCTATACAGTTTATTATTACAATGGAAAAATACATTTTGATATTGAACATATATAACTGTGAAACCCGTTTCGGAAACACGTTTTTATCTACTGGGTCCTTCAATATGTCATTCGTGTAGTGTGTGAAAAAGAGTGGCGATGGGACGGAGCCCTGTGGGCACCGCCCTTTAAAAACATTTTCTACACAATAAAGGTAAACAAACTTCTGCTAAGTATATCTGTATTACTTATCTAAATTTAAATTAAATTAAAACTTTATCTAAAATTAATAACAATAACACATTAAGAATTAAGAAAGAGGATTCTATCGCATTGGTTTGACCTGTAAGAATAGATGTCTCAAGTAATAAATAAAAAAATTATTTGAACAAAAAAAATAACTTGTAACGGCTTCATGTTTTATAACATCTAGAAAAGCCAAACCAACATCAATACTAGCTACCAAAACTGCTAGCGAGCCCTTAGTCAAAATAGAAAATAAACTAATAGTTATCATGATGTAACAGAGTGTTGTGCCTGCGCAATATTACCTTGTTCACGTTTACTAAAATAATTACCGCAGCGAACATACGTCTGCAACATAGTTTGCCCTAAAAGGGGGATTTAGTCATAATTGCCTCTTGGCTGACGAGTTGGCAACAGCAGCTTTTTATCATTTTGATGTTGTCCCTCTGTCGCCACTTACGACACCCACGGGACGATATCAGGCCTCCGTCACTCGCTACCGCTTCTACGCTACCGCGCTACCGTTCCCGCGCTTACTCGTCGAAATGCCAAACCATGTTATTATTGTACAGTGGATGGGTGTAAAAGTCAAAAAAACAAATGAAAAATTGTGTTTTTTGCGTGGACCCATGTATCAGACTATTAATTGTATAAGTGTAGCAAAAAAAAGAAAAAAACTACTAGCTTCAATGCTTTGTTACAGGAGAACCCTAATGTTGACTAAACAACACTGTATACTCATTTCAAAGTTTATAATAAAGATTCATCTTTTTATGGTGGGCTAAAAGTTCCACCGGAACCGTTTAATAATTGTATTGAAAAATTAGAAAGAGCATTCTTAAATAATTTTAACAACATCATAATGAATCGGCCTGGCAGCACCCTGTTGCAAATTTTACAAACCATTGATTTTCCTCTGCTTTGCTCGTGTTTTCCTCGTGATTATTTATTAAAATTATTTACGCGATTTAGGAAACTTCAATGATAAAATTTATGCCGGACGGGCGAAACTCTCCGGAGTAAATGTTGTCGAAGATACTTCGCGAGTCGCTCACGTCCTACACCTATAGGTTCCGGTGGGTACTCTCACCGCCGTCTTTGTTGTTGCCGCTGAAATATTGTGGACTGTAGTTAAAATCAAAATGCACGATTAACAAATACAAATAGCAAGGTAGTGGCCAGCGGTTCGACTGATTGATTAGTCGCGAAATTTTATAACTATTTATCACGGTTGTTAAACTACGGTTGTTCACTGTATATTTCAAAAGATTTCTTTAAATTGTACGGTGGTATCAAATATCTATTGGTAGTAGCTGGTTTTCTAACACTACTGACTAGCAGCTATTATCAACTAAACTAGTTGATTTTATCACTTGTGTATCTGCGGATATCAGTTACCACTTTCACTATATGTAACTGCGAATGTCAGTTACGACCTTTTTAGGTTAGCTAACACTTTCACTATTCACTATATACTGCTACTAGTCACTTCAGCTACCACCGGATACCACTCACTTCACTTCACTAGTCACTGGTAGTTCTTCACACTACTACGGATACTGGGCCCCGAGCCCCTAAGGTAGACTTGAGCAATACTTTGCAGTGAGCCGCTTGCCATTTTCCATTTGCCTCTTTATTGCATAAACTTTTCACTATACAAATGGCATACATTGCAATATTTTCTATACAATACTAATTGCTACACTAACATGCTATACATCATTAAATCGGTAGTCTGGTACTTTATTAGTATATCATAAAGGTTAATAAAAACATTAACATTGTAAAAAGTTATTAAACGAAATGTCCCAAATTTTCATAATATTTGGGCATTTTAATTCTTTAATTTTTCTATAAATATGAAATGCGTTTAATTATACAAAAATATTCCTATACTTCTTTCATCTATAAGCCATATGCTAATTCAATGTCATATTTATAACTCTTTTAGGACATAAAATTATTTTCATTATTTTTAGTATGATCTATTACGCAGTTAATTAAAAACTTCTAGAGAGTTCCACGATAAGACGCGCTGTGATTGGTCGATTTTTTTGGTATATAATAAAAGTTGTTTACATTACTTGTTATCAAAACGACATTCTATACAAACATATTGAGAGTTATAAATATGCTAAACAACTATATTAATACACATTTTTAGTCAGTTTTATCGGTAATTTCATTTTTAATACATAAAACAATATTCTTTATTACTTCGTTTCTTAAGGTTGTTAGGCCGTCGCGAACATTTCTCCCGCCGTGCAGCGTCGCGACGATTTTCTCACAGCGGCGCTGCATCCATTTCGGTGAGCGACGTTGCTTCTACTTCGGCAGCGGCACGAGTTTCCTGGTTGGCCTCTTGATTAGGCCGTTTGCTGTGCGTACTTCCACAGAATGCGGATCTGTCCGTCCGCACCGCGGTAAACAGCTTCCACCCTCCCTCGTGGCCAGGTGTTACGAGGTAACTGGCCGTCAGCTATGAGGACTGGATCGCCCACCTGGAGATTGGGACCTCGCCCATGGGCCTCCCGCCGGTTTTGAAGTTCCGGTAAATACTCTCGGACCCAACGCTGCCAGAACATGTCAGCGAGTATCTGGGAGCGTCGCCAGTGTCTTTGGCTATTCATATCTTTTTCATCAAATACTCCAGGTGTCGGCAGTCTCGCAGATCCTCCTAAAAGGAAGTGATTTGGAGTGATGGCTTCGTCGTCGTTGCTGTCTACAGAGATGTGAGTCAATGGTCTGCTATTTACTGTGTACTCCACCTCGCAGAGCAGCGTGGCTAATACTTCCTCATGCGGATGTCTCTCATGAAGGACGGTGTATAGTGCCGTCTTCACGTACCGTATGAGACGTTCTCTCTTGGTTGATGTTTTATGCAGCAAATTGATTGGAAGTCGAGTGAGCTTTAGGTTGAAGCTCAGCTGATCGGTACCCGGTTTCCAGATTAATCCGAGTATCTTTTCCTCGTTTCCTTTGTTTCCCAGATCGACTGACTCAGATGCTTCATGGTCAGGTTCTAATTCTTTTACAATTTCTGGTGCGTTGGAAACCCATTTTCTTAAGGTGAAGTGCGCGTTTTTGTGTATGTCGCGTACTTCCTTCGATATTCGCATTGCCTCTTCCAGAGACTGGAAACTGTCGAGATAGTCATCCATATAGTGGTTTTGAATGATAGCTTCTACAGCTTCTGGATACTTGTCTTTGTATTTTTTTGCGTTCCAGTTTTTTGCGAATATGGCTGTGCAGGGTGAACTGGCTGCACCGAAAATGATCGACGTCATTCTATATTCCTGTGGAGCTTCATTACGTCGATCCCCTCTCCAGAGATATCTTAAGGCATCTCTGTCTTCAGGTCTGACTTTAACCTGCATGAACATTTCGGCTATGTCCGCGGAGACAGCGATTTTATGGCGGCGAAAACGCATCATGACCCCTGGTAGTGATTGCAGTAGGTCTGGACCCGTGAGCAGGAAGTCATTCAATGACACCCCCTTTGTTTTGGCTGCAGCATCGTGTACTATTCGAAACTTCTCTGGCTTCATTGGGTTATGGACGTCGAAATGGGGTAGGTACCATGTTCTTCCCGGTGTGCTAGTTTTCGGTGCTATCTCAGCGTATCCCTTTTGTACTAGGGAATTCATTTGTTCATCATATTTTCTTTTTAGATCTTCGTCTCGATCTAATTTTCTTTCAATGGAAACGAGCCGTTTTATTGCTGTTTCATAATTACCAGGCATCTCGATATCCTTTTTCTTCCAGAGAAGCGCTGTTTCTATGTGCCCGTCTTGTAACTGACGGGTGCTGCTATTTAGTATATCTTCAGCTTTCTTCTCTGGGTCGGAGTCTGGTCTTCTCGGATTGATAATGAGAGATTCCAGCGCGAAATATTCGCGGAGTTGGTCATCTATATTAACCTCGCTCTTGTGCAGCTCATTGGCCGCGTGGACGCGCTGATACGGGGCTTTAGTGTGTGCCCCGTGTAGCACCCATCCTAATTCTGTGAGCGAGGCAATTGGCTGGTGCGGCGGACCTCTCCGGATTTGAGTGGCTATCAGAAGTCTCCAATTGTCCTGTCCTATTAGGATCCTTGGGTTGCCGGAGTCATATATTAGCTGCTCCTTTATGTCTTTTAAGTGGTTGCACTTGGCTATGTCTACTGCACGCACAGTCTGTGGCCCCAAGTTTAGGCTTGCAACCGTACGTGCTCTGAATGGCACCCTTTTGCTGTGGAGACTCTTCAGCGATACTTTGATTCTTCGGGATTCCGGTGAATCGAGGGTCGTGTTCCCGATAGCGGTGATCTTAAACGGGTCCAACCGCCCTGTAGCTCCAATTTGTTTGGCAATCTCTTCATCCATTAGTGAAACAGTTGACCCATCATCTAGCAGGGCGTGTGTATTTACAGCTCCCGCCGGTCCAATTACTCGCACTGGAATTATTTTTAAATAGGCTTGATGCTTTGACACAGCGAATGAGTTAGCTACGGTTTCTTGAGGTTCTTTTTGTTTGACCTCAGTCTTCTCCTTTGTATTATTATGGAGAAGTCGATTGTGTGTCGCGGTGCATCCTTTTATTCCACACTTATTGGTTTTGCATTTGTGTGTCTGATTTCGATAACGTAAACAGCGGAAACATAAATTATTTTGCTTTGCGAGTTCCCATCTTTTGTTGATATCTGCCTCCTTAAATTTTTTACATTCGGATCCGTAGTGACCCTCCTTTTCGCACACTCTGCATTTCGGAGACGGCTTAGTAGTAGCCGCGTGTGCTCTATGTACTGAACGATTGCTTTGTGCTTCGTTTATAATTTCTGGAGGCGCAAATGCACTGCAGAAGTGAGCTTGCTCGGTAATAAACTCGCTGAAGCAGCCGAGGTCTGGTCTAGAGTCATATTTTTCGATGTAAATTCTATACCACTGGGCACGTATAGAGTTTGGCAGTTTGTCGGTGAGGTGTCGTAGCAGCTCTGCGTTAACGAGGTAATGATCTCGCTTTAGGGCTCTAAGAGTGACGACGCTTCCCCTCACTTTGCTCGCGAATGTGCAGATGTCTCTAGGTGATTCTGTACAGCGTGCTAATCCTCGTAACTTCTCGGTTTCTGCTTGTGCGATTGAATCTGGACGCCCAAATTGTAGCTCCAGTTCTCGCATAATCTCACCTGGCTTAGCATGCCCGATGAGTTCTGAGCTGACTGTTTCCAAGGCTCTTCCTTGTAGACTTCGTCTTAGTCTAGCAGTGTTTTCAATGTCATTGAAGTAGCCTCGAGTTGTTTCGTAAATGGCACGGAATGAAAGCCACTCGGTATGTGCTCCGCTAAAGCTTGGCAGTGTCATTATAGCTTTCGACGCTGCGAAAGTATGCGACGATAGTGGCGCACTCTCTAACTTTGGTTTGTCAGCGAGCGCGGCTATAGCGGATGTGAGCTCCGATATAAACGGACGGAGCCCCCTGTCTTCACTTATGACAGGTTCCTGGCTAGGTTTCTTTGGATTGGGATCCTTTTGTACATCTTCTGGATAGGAATCCTGGTTTGTGAGCTCTGATACAATCGGTAGGAGCCCCCTGTCTTCATCAACGGTGGGTTCCTGGCTGAGCTTCTGTGGAATGGGATGCTTTTGTGCATCTTCTGGATAGGAGTCCTGGTTCGTGAGCTCCTTTTGGGGCTCACTGAGGTCGACAACGTCCGGGGTCGGCTTTGTGACGGTTTTATTAAATGGTGCCTTCCCTCCGGTGATTGCGCCTTGATTTGACTTTTGTTTGGCTACAGAGTTTTCGAGCCAAGATCGAACGTACTCACTTTTGGAGTGACCATCTTCATCATAGTCGTCTGATTCGTCTTCTTCTTCCGCCATCTGTAAGGAGATCTGCGCAAGTTCTAGTTTGATCTTTAATACTTCTTCACGAGCCTTCAAAATTCTTCTATTGGGCCGAACAGTCTTCTTAGACTTCGTACTGCAAACGGTGTGGCCCCTCGGTGGCTCTTCGGAGTGGGTGTCTTCCCGGGCTGGTGGCGATGATGCACGTCTAAAGTCATCGTTGCCTTCTATATGTTCCCTCTGCTTCGTTGTGCGGGCCGTAGTGGACGGCGCGGGCAGGGGTATCCCCCCCCTCGGGGGGGCAACATGGCGCCTCAGCGCCCTCTACCGTTGACGGCGAGCGTGGTGGCATCTGGTGGTGGACGGCGGCGTTACTGGCCGACGAACCTCCTTCCAGACCAACGGTCCACGCTTTGGCTGCCCTTCCTTGCGAACGGGTGATCGGCATCTTGAATCTGAAAATTCTGCGGTTTTAATACGGTGGTGACTATTTACCCGGTTCCGAAATACAAACGGATATATCCGGCTCGAAGGACCAACGAATGTGCCGGACGGGCGAAACTCTCCGGAGTAAATGTTGTCGAAGATACTTCGCGAGTCGCTCACGTCCTACACCTATAGGTTCCGGTGGGTACTCTCACCGCCGTCTTTGTTGTTGCCGCTGAAATATTGTGGACTGTAGTTAAAATCAAAATGCACGATTAACAAATACAAATAGCAAGGTAGTGGCCAGCGGTTCGACTGATTGATTAGTCGCGAAATTTTATAACTATTTATCACGGTTGTTAAACTACGGTTGTTCACTGTATATTTCAAAAGATTTCTTTAAATTGTACGGTGGTATCAAATATCTATTGGTAGTAGCTGGTTTTCTAACACTACTGACTAGCAGCTATTATCAACTAAACTAGTTGATTTTATCACTTGTGTATCTGCGGATATCAGTTACCACTTTCACTATATGTAACTGCGAATGTCAGTTACGACCTTTTTAGGTTAGCTAACACTTTCACTATTCACTATATACTGCTACTAGTCACTTCAGCTACCACCGGATACCACTCACTTCACTTCACTAGTCACTGGTAGTTCTTCACACTACTACGGATACTGGGCCCCGAGCCCCTAAGGTAGACTTGAGCAATACTTTGCAGTGAGCCGCTTGCCATTTTCCATTTGCCTCTTTATTGCATAAACTTTTCACTATACAAATGGCATACATTGCAATATTTTCTATACAATACTAATTGCTACACTAACATGCTATACATCATTAAATCGGTAGTCTGGTACTTTATTAGTATATCATAAAGGTTAATAAAAACATTAACATTGTAAAAAGTTATTAAACGAAATGTCCCAAATTTTCATAATATTTGGGCATTTTAATTCTTTAATTTTTCTATAAATATGAAATGCGTTTAATTATACAAAAATATTCCTATACTTCTTTCATCTATAAGCCATATGCTAATTCAATGTCATATTTATAACTCTTTTAGGACATAAAATTATTTTCATTATTTTTAGTATGATCTATTACGCAGTTAATTAACCCTTTTTAAGGCAAAGGGAATATATTTACCACCAGCGTTTTCTACTATTTCTCCCAAATTCGTTTTTAGTAGAGAAATTTCTTTTTCGTCTAGCAATACTAAAATATATCGTCAACCTATCCGAAGAAAAAAAATTTTTGACAGACAGGGTGTCACGGCGTTATTCATCAGCTGGTTGTCTAGAGAACGTGTTTTTTTAGGTTATAGAAATTCGCATCTGTAGAAATCCCACTTTTTGCTTATTGTTAAGGGGTAAGTAAAAATTATGTGTTTCGAAATATATTATTCTTTATGTATTTGCTAATATTTATGAAATTGTATTTATATTTTTTGCTCACTAACGGTTTTTCTTGGTGGGAAATATATTCCCTGTACCCTGCGCCGTTACTGAGTTTTGATAATGCACGAATAAAATGTTTTTTGTTCTTTCAGGGTATTTTGTCACAATGTCGAGGATTTTTTTTGAAGGATAAGGATATTGAAGGATTTTTAGAAGAAACGTTTGATATTCCGGATGATAGTAACTCGGAAGACGACTTAGAATCGGAAGGAGAACCAGAGTTGAATTTAGAAACTTTGCAAAATCTTTTAGAAGATGATTCCCAAAGCCAAGAAAATCAAAATATGCCTGATACGAGTTCGAATGTCTCTATTGAGAGTTTTCATAATTCACAGAGAGATGAATCTGAAGCTGAGATTAGTATACTTGAAGAGTTAGAAGAAGATTCAGATGAATCTGAACCAGAAGAAGATGGAAATTGGTGTAAAAGTTTATGGATCAGTCGACCGGAACCAGAAGAATTTGACCGTGTCAAAACAGTGCCTGTGTATTTATTGAACAGCAGAGCTCGTCCTTTGGCACACTTTGAAAAATTTTTCAATGAAAACGTGTATGATCTTATTGTTGCACAGACAAATCTCTACGCTGAACAAAAGAAACTACTGCATTGGGAGCCGGTAACTAAACCCGAAATTAAAGCATTCCTTGGCATTTTGATTATCATGGGGTATATTATTTTACCTCACATAGATTTATATTGGTCTCGTGATCCAGGGTTTAGAATCTATGAATTGGCCAATGTCATGCCAATAAAACGATTCAAAAAAATACTGCAAGCGCTACATCTTAACGACAATTCCCTAGAACCTAAAAAAAGGAACCCCGGGCCATGATAAACTGTACAAGTTGCGTCCACTAATTACCATGCTCAATAATTCATTTCTAGAAAACGCGAAGAATTCTTCGTCGCAAAGTATTGACGAAAGTATGGTAAAATTCAAAGGGAGATCTTCTTTGAAACAATACATGCCACTCAAACCAATAAAACGTGGTTACAAAGTTTGGTGCCGTAATGATAGTCAAACCGGATATTTATACGAGTTTGAGATATACACGGGCAAGACAGCAGAGGGGGTAGAAAAAGGCTTAGGCGCTGACGTGGTAAAAAGATTGACAAGCAAACTAATGCAAGAAGAATTTATCAAACATGTCGCATTTGATAATTATTTTTCAGACACTTCTCTGCTCCAGTATTTACATGAAAACGGTTTATTTTGTACCGCAACAGTCCGTCGAAACAGAGTTGAATTGCCTGCAATAATAAAAGAAAAGAAGAAGTTGAAATTACAGAAAGGCCAATTCAAATGGAGAACTAATAAGGACGTTGCTTTGTTAGTTTGGCAGGATACAAAAAGAAGTGTTAGTATTGAGCACAGCATTTCACCCTAAAATAGGAACGACTGCAGTTAGCAGAACTCAAAAAGATGGCACCACTTTATCAGTCAAATGTCCAAGAGCAATAAAAGAATATACTCAGAGAATGGGTGGTGTAGACCGATTCGATCGAATGAAAGCCTCATACTCTGTCGGTAGAAGGAGCAAACGCTGGTGGCTCCGGATTTTTTACTTTTTGTTAGATGCAGCTATCACAAATGCTTTCGTGCTTTACTCTGTTTCAATTTCTTCGAGGGCAAGAAAACAAGTAACTAATCTGGAGTTCCGAGTGGCACTGGCGCGAGGGCTCATTGGAGCGCACAGTAGAAAAAGGCGAAGATCTGTTCCAAATTACGTCACTAAGAAAACTAGAGTACTGGGCTCTGATAATTATCAAAAGGCCACCAATAAAGTGGCACCTGAAATAAGATTTCAAAATGTTGGTCTGCATATGCCTGTAGCCATTGGTTCGTATAGACGCTGTAAATACTGCAGCACAAAGGAGCACGATAAACGAAGTAAAATTATCTGCGAAAAATGCACAGTTCCATTATGTATTGTCCCTTGTTTCCGTCAATATCATGTTAATAATTAATGAAATAGTTTTTTATTTTCCTTCCACAGTTTTACAATATAACTTTAATAATTTAATATACAAGAATTTATTACAATTGGGAGAGACAGGAATCTAAGAATTTTTCCACTGTGTCTAGTTTTCACTACAGTGACGGGCAGGGGGAATATATTTACCACCAATTTTCCACAATTTTCCGATAACTTTTCCTAATTTTCGTGTAAAGTTATGATAAGTAGTTATATAAAAGATGCCAAATTTAATATAAATATTTATTTTACTGTCCTGAATCCTTCTGCCTTATAAAGGGTTAAAAACTTCTAGAGAGTTCCACGATAAGACGCGCTGTGATTGGTCGATTTTTTGGTATATAATAAAAGTTGTTTACATTACTTGTTATCAAAACGACATTCTATACAAACATATTGAGAGTTATAAATATGCTAAACAACTATATTAATACACATTTTTAGTCAGTTTTATCGGTAATTTCACTTTTAATACATAAAACAATATTCTTTATTACTTCGTTTCTTAAGGTTGTTAGGCCGTCGCGAACAAAATTTAATAACCGAGAATTCAGAGACGAAAAAAAAATGTATAAATGATTTTATCAAACTCAAACATATTTGATTGACAAATAAAAAATATTGTTAGTATTAATTGTTAGAATGTATTTCGCAACATTCGTTTTATTACAATAATCATCATAGGTACGACCCTAGCGCATTCGTGCGATGACGTGCTTCCACGTGAGTCGCACGGCGGGCAACACAATCTCGACTCTTCGTGCGCGTACTTATGGTACATTTTCTTCTCGGTGCGAGCAGCAGATATTATTATAAAGATTTTGTAGGCTATTATAGCGTAGGTATTTTCGCTTTTGTATGGGAGTGATGTATCTGTTGGTAAACTATTTATTAATTTGTGACGATATGGTGAAGTGGATATTCTTACACCGCCACTACGCGGTCATTTCTTTTTATTTGAACGGTTGTTTTTAAATCGTAGCATACGAGTAATAATAATTCGTTGTAATGTGCTTATGTCTGAATATTTATCGAACAAAAAGTAAGCCCTCCTCTCACTTCTGAGAGGGTTTTAGGGCAAGGAACAACATACTAGACTTGTGTCAATCATGTATGATTCGTTCATTTTAGCTTGGTACACTTAAAAGTATTGATGGTTCCAATGTTATTAATATGATGTTTTTGAATGTTCCGGTACAACCAATCGCAAACAATTGCCGGAACCTTTTAAACTTGTGATTGGTGTGAATTGTGAATGAGTCGAAAACCGACCGAATCCCGAATGATCTGAATGAAATGTTTTTAGTGTAGGGTACTGGAGCCCGAAATGATCCATTTGAATGATCGATCCGAATGTACCAGTACGCGTGATGAAATGTACTAGAAATGATTGACATGTCTACAACATACCTTTATCCAATAACTCAGTCATATATATTTGCAATTGTTTGTGTTATGCAAATTATCTTGGCTATTAACTAGTTTATTCTTAATCAGCATCATCATTTATCTCTCCTTCAAATAATTCGTTAACCCTACAAGGCACAATTTTTTTCTGTTGCTAATTAAAATATATGTGATGTCATTAGTGATAAGTACCTGGGAAAAAATAATAAAAAAATCAAAACCCAATATTTTGCCAGAAAATCAGTTTTTTATTTCAGTTCCATATGTGGTACACTGAGCCTTAACTATATTTTTTGGCATGGAGCTAGAACTTTTAAATAATTTTAGGAACATGTTACCATTTGAATAATGTTGAAGTGAGACTTACAAATTAAATAAACATTTAACAAAACATTTATAACAAAAAATAACTTTTTTCAAAGTAGATACGTATTGGTGAAAGTTTCTGAAACAATTAATATTTTTATTGAGACAGAGTTCAAATCGACATTTTTCACACGATATAAATGTTTTTCCTTTGCAACCGGAGTTTTTACAGCATTGCCTTTTTTGATCCCAAATTGTGAAATACTCAAACCCGTCACATCTGACTTCACGAGGGGGTGGAATTGCTGTATTTGGCTTATTTTTCTTTATTTCAATTTAATCAGGCAAACTTGACGGTCTGCCTCTTCTTGTTGATCGAAGGCCCACACATGCATAGAATTTTTTCTAGGCTAAACTTAAATTCCTTTAACTTTAGTGGGGTTGGCGTTTGCTTTTGCTCCCCGACTCTTCTGAACAGTAACCAGCTATTTATGATAATAGCATCGAGAAGATGATAAAATAGCTTCAAATACTATTTTTTCGTCCTTATTTTTATTTTATATTTTCCCAGGAACGAATCCACTCGTCAACAGATAATACCTCTCGTTTGAAGATACTTAGACATTTTTTTCCGTTAAGTTTCCAATATTGGCCTGATTTTATGTAAACGATCATATCCTGGTGTATCTGAGGGTGGTTGCGCGGCGCTGTCATGAAATGCAGGAGCTAGCAGATTTTTCTTTAATTATTTAGCGATATTGTCTCCATAATCAGAGGAATACCCAATACAGGTGCCCAATACATTCGAATATTTGGCAATGTTGACAAGCTCATAATCAGACAGACACTTTCAAATTCTATATTTGGTGACTGTAAGTTTACGTTTCCAGTAAACTGTGAATGTGGTGTAATGATTTCTTATATTTACGCGAACACTATACATTGATTAAAACTACTTTTACGGATTTTTTCGCGTTTTATTTATATTAATTTTAATACCCGACGTTTCGGGTGCTTTCCAACACCCATGGTCACGGGGGACTGAGGTGACTGACGTCCCGATGTCAAAGTTAACCCGGAGTACCTTCAGCTTTTTAATTATTGTCTTTGGTCCGATCTACGCAGAATGAACTAACTGTATTTTGAAGTCTTGCAGTGGTATGCTTGGGTTTAGTTTTAATTTTATTAATTATAGGATCCCAAGCTGGTGGTAGTACCCAGCCTCCTTCTCTATTGAAATTAGGATGTTTTTTAATTTCAATAGCCTCACGTATCATCCTTGGTAGGAATCGATGGTAGGAATAGGACCACAAATCCTCGCGAAAGAACATCGATTCCTACCAAGGATGATACGTGAGGCTATTGAAATTAAAAAAACATCCTAATTTAAATAGAGAAGGAGGCTGGGTACTACCACCAGCTTGGGATCCTATAATTAATAAAATTAAAACTAAACCCAAGCATACCACTGCAAGACTTCAAAATACAGTTAGTTCATTCTGCGTAGATCGGACCAAAGACAATAATTAAAAAGCTGAAGGTACTCCGGGTTAACTTTGACATCGGGACGTCAGTCACCTCAGTCCCCCGTGACCATGGGTGCTGGAAAGCACCCGAAACGTCGGGTATTAAAATTAATATAAATAAAACGCGAAAAAATCCGTAAAAGTAGTTTTAATTAATGTGAATGTGGTGATTGAAAAGATTTTTTTTCCAAATAAACTTCCTTTTCTTCCTTTTGATGACAGATGCAGAGCCATGTAGCCTAGTGCTGTCAGCAAAATCAATACTCACGTCTCACTAAGTCGATGATCGTCTATTTTCACGCGATTGTCTATTATCACCTGAATTTCTCGCTGAAGTCACGTCTGAAGTACTAGGTTGAGTGTTTGTTATTTACTGCTCGCTCGCTAAATGAACATCTTCATTAGTGGGAAACAAACGGAGATATCTCTGTGGTGATGTTTCTATATCGGTAAGGGATTCAGAGAAAAAATTGACGGTAGACTTGATTTTTTTATGTCTTCATCACTTCAGAAAAGTCTTCGTCATCTTCACTCCTCGATGGTATACCCAAGAAATCTTCAATATCTTCATCACGCAATCGTTTGCTCGACATAATCAGTAATAAATAAAAGTATTCATAAGTACACTTCTCGCAAGTACGTATTCGTAAAAAGGAGGGCTAAAGCTCAATGTACCGTATGTGGAACACGGATAAAAATACGATTAATTAATAAATATAATACAGAAATAGAAAAACTAACTTACCTCTGCAAAATAAACAATTTTTTACAATACGTTATATTTTTTTTTCGGATAAAAACCTTAATGTAATCATATTTTATTATTTATTTAACTTACGCAAACGTCAAACGCAAATTTTTAGTATAAATTTCGCCGTTTACTGAGAGTAATCGGATCAATAACGACATCTACACGCAATTGTTGGTGTTATGTCATTGCTAAATTTTCGGTATATCCCTTTAAAACGAGTAGATGTCTCTGCTAGTATTTCATATAGCTGTAGGAACCATAAAAGTGGTTGTCCCGCATGTGGTACTGAGTGCCTTGTAGGGTTCTTAACCCGCTAATTTTCCATATAGTTAGGCTGTTGTAGGATATTGTGATTGATCACAAACTTGCGCTTAGTGAGTTGGTGTAAACACTGATGATAATTCTGTTTCCAAAGGTTTATCGTGTCTATGACTCGTGTCAAAAGAGGTTGAGGGTATGGGTTCCATGTTAACTGAAACGAATAATATAAAGTTATATAGGTGCACTTAACATAGATCAAGCTTAATTAAACTTTAACTGTTCTTATGTCATAAGGCCAAAACCGAACTGAAAGTTTAAAGCTTTACTTGCACTTGACTGTACATGCATCTGATGCATAATTTAAGATGCAGTCAATCAATCCACCAAAACAGCCAAAGTCGTCGTATAAGCAAAATAACAGGATCCGGGTACGAAGCAAGTGTTGTCGAGAAATCACATAAAAAATTTAAATTACGTCGGTGTCAAAGGTGTCAAACAATGCTTTTGTTTGACACTTTTGAAACCGACGTAATTTAAAAAAATAAATTTTTCAATTAATCAGACGCCGCCTGCGCCCTTGTGCAGACAAGGCGAATAGTGTGTTATGATTGGTCATACGAGACGATCAGGGTGAAGGGCCCGGGGGAAATGCCAGGTTCTTACAGAACGGGAACCAGAATGGCGAAACGTACAACGAGTTCAGGTACTCACCGCTAGTGGATGCTGTAACTAAATTGCTGTATTTAACTCGCTAATGTCCTTAAAATAGATGTCATATTCGCGTGCAATGTAAGAAATATATATTTTGACGTGACACAACGTCTTATAAATTGGTTTGCCGGGTGACACTTCAAGAAACTGAGTTACGCTCCGCTCACGTTATGCGCTCACAATGAGAGCGAGTGAGAGGCACGCGTCCCTTCCACTCGGGCATGGTTAGCCCGCCTAAGAGCGAGAGAGACAGACATAAAAAGTGAAAGGCACGCGTCCCTTCCACTCGAGCACAGTTAGCCCGCCTAAGAGCGAGAGAGACAGAGCGAGAGAGAGAGAGTGAGAGAGTCGTTGTCACGTAAAACTTTCGCCCGTATACCGACTTTACAGGCAACCAATATTTTTTTTTGATTTTAAAATCATTAGTTGTCAATCCCTGGAACACGCCGATTGGCGTTTTACGCACCAGAGTAAGAAAACTCAACTTTTCTTGAACCGAAATATCCAAAAACTACTATCAGTAATTTCTCTTATGTATTACACGCACATTCTTGTATGTTTTATTATTAGGGGAAGTCGGGGCTACAATTAACAAAAATTGCATTTTTAGTTATACCTATAAAATTATTCAACATTTAGACTTGATTTCTACGTCCTATGATGCTTCAACTATTTAGGTATCAGGTTATAAACATAATCTTAATCCGGAGCCGTGGTTGCTAGTACGCGTACCGAAGTGGTATAAGGACAGATATATGCTTCGTTTATTGTCAAAACATTATGATTGGCAGCGTTGACCTGACCAAAAGTCCCCGATGGAATCTACACCGTTAACTTCGAGCGGTCCTTGTGGAATAGCTAAATCTGGGAGGTTAGGCAGTATCTCATCTCCCCCAGGCGTGGTGACTCGACCGATGTGGCTAATGTAGTCGGCTACCGACTTTGGTATGCATTGGTAATCAGGCATGGCCGTGTAGCGATCTGAGAAAAGGTTTTTCCGGACCGATTTGACTTTGGAACCTTCAAGAAAAGAGCCTATTCCTTGTTAAAAGGCTGGCAACGCATCTGCAATCCCCTGGTGTTGCAGCTGTTCATGGGCAGCGGTAGTCACTTACCATCGGTTGAGCCGTATGCTCGTTTGCCCCCCTCTCCTATTAAAAAAAAGGACCGCGGCAAAACATCCAGATTCGGAACTCTCGCAATTGCTGTAGTATTTCAATATCCAAATGATTGGCCATTACATGGGGTAAATGCGCTAAGCGGGAGACGTTCATGTAAGCGGAGATCTATCCCGCGCATTTTCTCGTACGTGGAATTGATAATGGGGATGAAACCACCATTATCAAAGTTTTGGGCATACCGGCCCTGAAACGGATTCATCGAGGACACAGGCCCAATGTCTTACGACGAAACAAGCGAGCGCGACGATTATATACACCACCTGCTACGTTTGATATGGATGATACCGATTTTAACATAATACCTGGACAATGGAGACAAAACTATGATCCTGACGATTTAATTAATTTAGAAAATCGACCAAGAAATGCATCTGTAATAGCTAAATTGAACAGAGATGAATTTATACATTATTTTATGTCTCAACGTGGAAGTGTCCCATGGAAATCTGCTTATTTGTTATAACAAGTATGTATGTTAGACAACAATATGTCGGGTGTAAGACATCTAACCTAAAACTCCAAGGAAGTTGCGGACGGAAGCAAGTAACTTATAACTTGCATTGTCTGATGATATGATAAATAACTATATAATTATTCGATTTTGCATACGTTCTTTATGAAACTGATTACTTACTTCTGATTGTGTTTCCGTTTCTAGACCAGAATCAGCTTCATCTGTGCCTTTTAAAAAAAGCAAAATTTTTAAAAGCAAACCAATTGCTTTCTTGAAAAGCACCACTGCCACTTTTTTGCTTTTTCTCCAATTTCTTTATTTCATTGTTAAAATGTGTGCGTAAATTTTTAAATTTTTTTACTGCTTCGTCATGAGATATTTTAAACTGCAGCCCAATAGCAGTCCATTCATCTTTTTTTAGCAAACGATCCTTAAAATCAGGACTTTTGTTATCCCACAAACAAGGATGCAAGCGAACTGCTTCAATAAAGTTAATAATCTTTTCATTATTCCACGACAAAGACGACGCCATTTTAAAATGCAGTCACAACAAACAGAGGGACGCGCTGGACTGACGACGCCTTGCCGCGCGCTATCCTACTTCCACCCGACCTCTCGCTCTCGGAAGCAAGACGGCAAGCCGCAAAACAAACAAGTGCGAATGAGATATATACAAAAATTGCTAGGAATTTCCAAGCCCATTGGATATTCGTCAATTCGTATCTGCGACATTCAGCGATATGAAATATCTGGAGCAATTAGAAGCAATATTGCCGAAATAATTGCCGCAATTTGCTCCATTGCTTTGAAATTGCTCCAGATCGGTCCATTCGTGTCGCCGAGCAATTATTGCCCTCGTGTAAGCGCACCTTTACATTGGGCTATCAGTTGGCGGTTTCTCTGTGGTCGACATTTTAAGAACTGGACTATTCACAGGTTTCGTCTTCTTATAATTTTGTGACCTGGTGGTTGGCTTACCAGGCTTCGGTTCTTGCGCCTCAAACTCCATATTTTCTTACATCAATTGATATTTATACTACGAAAAATGTAAACATGAACAAAAACTAATAATTTGCTAAATTATTATAAATAATCAAGAATTTATTGGTCAGTTTTTCTTAAGATTAACCATCATGACATTCGTAATCACTTGTGACTTCTATGTTAAAAATTAAATAATTTGGAACACAGCTTATAAGCTAGCAAAGATGATGTAGAAAATAACACGTTTTTTCCATAACGAATCAGTCTTCGTGATAAGTACGAGTATTTTTACATTAAACTTATACAACATGGATTATTTTTTATGCCATTAGCAAATATAAACTAAATGTCAACGATTAGGAGCTCTAGTAAGCATCACAAATAATATATATTCGCTCTCATCATCATCCAAATTACAATTCAAGCAAATGAATGATGTGATGCAACTCGGCTTGGGCCCAGATTTTGCAAGAGATACATTGTATCCAATCACCACCTGATTGATCGTCATTATATGAGATACGCAAATAACACAAAAATATTTATCTTCATCAGAATTACTGCTTTTTCTTAAAATTTTTCTTCACCTTCTGAATTTTCTCGCCTTTACTTATTTGTCTATCTTCCTCTGCCTTGAATTTACCTTTGCCTTGACTCTATCTTTTATTTTTTTGTTTTCTTTATTCTGGCTCTTTTCTGTATTTTCCTTTTTTCTGTTCTTTAATATGATGTTATTTTTCCAAAGCAATTTTTTCTGGTGTATCACTGAGTGTAGCAGATTTTCTGGCCCGTTTACGATTAGATGGAGCTCGTGGTGGAGTTTTTGGCAGAGGTCTTACAGTTTCAACCAAGAAATCGTTAACATCTTTCTGTATGCCCGATGGTCCAGCTACTGGCTCATTAGACATGTGCGCAATTACTTCAGTTACGATTTTCTAAATTTAATAACAAATCATCATCATTAACCTCATTCTCAACAGGTGGTTCAGAAACAAATGACAGATTTTGATTGCTGGGATCTGGACGGTCCGTGACAAAAGATGGCGCAAAATCAGATTCTCGAAAGACATCTTCTTTACATGGCCAAATGCCAGATTTTTTGAATGCATTGATAAAATACGAAGTATTTAATGCCAACAGTAGCGCTTCCTTAACAATACCAAGGACATCATAGATGGTCATTGTTCTCATATAATTTTTCAATGGACCATAGAATCCAACATTGAGAGGCTGGGTGATGGGAGCAATGTGGTGGAAATGACAACAAAACAATATTGTTCTTCTTGGCCTTGTTAACTACATACGCATTTACATGGTGAACTGTGGTTGTATAGTAAGAAGAGTAAGACAAGATCAAGTAAGACAAGATTGACGGCTTCACATGATTAATAAATTTTACAAACTCTTTTTGAGTCATCCAGCCCGATTAGTTTCCAACCCCTATGCAATAAAGATATTAATAGTTACTTTGCAACCATCCGCTCAATTAACTAAAATGATGTGTCTCACCTAGTTTGAAGAGCACCTCCCGCCCTCCTTCAATTGTGTGCACTAATCCCGTCATCACTAATCCCAGCACCACTACTCCCTTTTTAATTTTTTTCTATTTTTTTCCTATTTGTTAATTTTATCCCCAAACGTACATTTTTAATTTCAAATATTATAAAAATATTTGTTTAAAAAATTTATTAATTGAGCTACATAGCGTTATTAACTAAGAAATATTCTTCGAGGAAAAAATCTTCAAAAAACCAAATCATAATGTCGTATATTTTGAGCATAAATCAAAAAAATTCAAAATATTATTATTTACCTGCGTAATAAAGTAGTGGTCCGTTACACAACTCAGTCTCACGACGTTCTTGGCTACGATTTTTTAACGATGAAATTATCTAGTCTACGCTCTAGCCCTGAATGCGTATGTTACCTGAGGTTCCGCGTGATTATAGGTATTTGGATGAATCAACTATTTGAAAAATAAATAAACGTGGTATTTTATTAATTTTATTTTAAATATAGGTGACTTAATTTATGATTTTATGTTTGATGTTAGAACCGACAACTTGGAATGTCTCGGGTGTGTCTTGGGTAACGGAGCAATAACGCTATACAATAAAAAAAAAGCAATACAATATATCCTAAAAAAACAAAACAGAAAAGTTTAATCGCTTTCTTCTCTGAAACTTTGTTGTGGTTTAAAGGTAAGTCTTCATCGGAGCTTATTATATATATATATATATATATATATATATATATATATATATATATATATATATATATATACATGGGTCATCATAATCTTCGATTGTCACAACACAGTTACAAGTGGAAGAGGTCTTTATGATTTTGGTGGTAAACATTCACAAAAAAACAAAAAGTATTCTATATTTAAGTTGTGCTCGAACGGTAGTAAATATTTTTTAATTCTTTTTTTAATATAGGGACTTACGTTATTTTTAACATGTCAGTTCCATTGTACCTTATAACTAAATAACACACTACAATTTCTTAAATTATTTACAAAAAATATTAACTAAATTATGTACCATTTGAGCAGCATTAGACAACGGTTCAGACAGATGCTTTAATATTACCCTATGTTACATATTTTAATGTCAGTTTTGGCAAATAATAGTTTCCTTTCATGATGGTAAATATTTGGTGAACATTTTTTTTATAGATAAGGGCAAAAAAGAAACAGCCCCGGGATGGTTGTGAGAACACCTCCTAAAAAAAGAGCCCGGAAGGGAATCCAGTAAAAGGGGGTCACACAGAAACACACGGCCCCACACATTGTAGATGGGAGGGGCTAAATTTTGGATGTCAGTTGATTTGCGATGGCTTCTATGTCCTTTGATGCAGTTAAGTAAAGCTTTATTTTGCTCACAACTTTCAATACATTATAAAAATTGTCTGCGTATTAAATGTCTTTACCGCCGGGGACCAAATTATCTGCTGATTGAATTGAATTAAATAGCCTCTAATGCGATCTGCCGGCCCTTTTCCTTGATCAGCTTCAAAAAATGACCAAGTCATGGCTTTGAAGCCATCCAACCATGCATCCATTACAGCCTATAAAAGTCCACAGCTGAAAATAGGCCTCCCCATAGATTGCCTCATAGGGGAAATTTTGCCATAGTTAGACACGCTTCATCATCATCATCATCATCATCATGACAGCCCTTCACAAGTCCACTGCTGAACATAGGCCTCCCCCAAGCCACAAAGCACGGTCCTGAGCCACCTGCATCCATCGACTTCCTGCATATCTTACCAGGTCGTCACTCCATCTAGTGGGGGGTCGGTCTACCGGTACGAGGCTGCCACTCGAGAACCTTTCTTCCCCATCGGTTATCGGTTCTTCGAGCTATATGGCCGGCCCATTGCCACTTCAGCTTACTAATCCGTTGGGCTATGTCGGTCACTCTGGTTTTACTGCGGATATCCTGAGTCTATCACGCAGAGAAACTCCGAGCATAGCCCTCTCCATAGCTCGCTGAGCGACCTTGAGCGTCCTTATACGGCCAGCAGTGAAGGACCACGTCTCAGATCCGTAAGTCATCACTGGCAACACGCACTGGTTATACACTTTAGTTTTCAGAGATTGAGGTATACCTGACGAGAGATGTGTCGTAATTTCCCGAACGCTGCCCAGCCGAGTTGAATCCGTCGATTGACCTCTCGGTCGAAGTTAGACTTACCTAGTCGTCGCACTATTTGTCCCAGGTAAACGTACTCGTCAACAACTTCGATCATAGTGCTCCCAACAACTACCGGCATAGGTGTGACATGGACATTAAACATGATCTTTGTTTTGTCCATGTTCATCTTAAGACCTATCCGATGGGAGGCACTATTGAGGTCATTGAGCATAGTGCTTAAGTCCTTCAGCGATTCTGCCATAAGGACTATATCGTCGGCAAATCGAAGGTGAGTGATGTACTCGCCATTGATGTTAATACCGTATCCTTTCCAGTCCAGTAGCTTGAAAACGTCTACCAGTGCAGCGGTGAAGAGTTTCGGGGAAATAACGTCACCCTGTCTTACACCTCTCTGCAGTTGGATAGGTTTCGAGCTCTGGTTCTGTACTCGGATAGCCATCGTAGCCCTACTGTACAAACACTTCAGCACTTCGATATACCGACAGTCAACTTGGCACCGCTGAAGGGACTGTAGCACCGCCCAAATTTCGACAGAATCAAAGGCTTTCTCATAGTCCACATACGCCAGGCAAAGTGGCAGATTGTACTCTTCGGTCTTCTGTACAATCTGCCGCAGGGTATGTATGTGGTCTATGGTACTGAAGCCTTTTCGGAAACCGGCTTGTTCGGGAGGCTGGAAGTCGTCGAGTCTGTGTGCGAGACGATTCGTAATGACTCTCGAAAACAGCACGTAGACGCGGCTCAGAAGGGAAATCGGTCTGTAGTTCTTCAAGAGAGCGTTGTCGCCTTTCTTAAAGAACAAGACCACCGCACTTATGCTCCACGCCTCTGGAGTAGTGCCACCATGGAGGACGGAGTTGAAGAGCTTCTGAAGGACTTCAAGTACCGGTGTTCCACCCGCTTTCAGAAGCTCCGCTGTAATTCCGTCCTCGCCTGGGGCCCTGCCGTTTTTAAGGTGCTGGAGAGCCATTCTAATCTCGCTTAGACTGACGTCCTAGATATCATCGGAATAGTGTCGGATAAGACTTGCTCTTGGATCGTTACTCACACTTGCGTGTGGCTCCAACGATTATGTGTACAGCTGCCCATAGAACCCCTCAATCTCACTCAAAATCTCAGGGGTCCCGGAAACGATGCTGCCACACTCAGTCTTCAGCTTTGACAGTTGGCTCTTACTGGCAGACAGATCCCTGGCCAAGACTTTGGAGCCCTGGTTCCGCTCGATCGCTTCTTTAATACGAGCAGTATTAAAGTTGCGTAAGTCTCGCCGCATGCATTTGGAGATCTGTCTGTTCAGTTGCCTGTATGCTGTCAAATCTGTTGACGATTGCAGCCTCATCTCCCGTCTAACAGCCATGAGATTAAGAGTGTGATCGGAGAGTTTTTGTGTTCTTCTGCGGCGGGTCTCGCAGAACTTAGCTCCGAACGCATGGACAGTTTCCACGAGCTTGTCATTCATATCGTCCACTGCATTGCAATCTTGTAGGCACTGAAAGCGGGACACGCTTGACGATCGGGTTGTCAACAGCGGTTTTTTGTTATTTTAAGTGGGTATGAGGATGATGTTACAGCCCATCACGTTTCAATTTACGACAACCAAGGGACGATATGGGGTAGTGGATACTCTTACACCGGCACTACACGGAAAAGCTTTGCACGCATGGTCAAATAATGCAGTGGAGTCAAGATTAAAGTTCTGTTTTTGTCGGTATTGAATAAAGGGACCATCTGTGAAGAAGTTAACGGTGGAAATTTTCGGGTACGAGCTATTAATGTCCTTTAGTACAGGAATAAAATGTGCCCTTGTAGCTGTATGTTGATTATTTGTGTTTTATGACACTGTGCAGTATTTCTCGACTTTTTTATTGTTCTCAGTGAGAATATATATTACAACTGTGCGCAGCGATACTTGTTGTCAAGGACCACCAAAATAATGCGCTTGTATTTCTTCTTGCTGTTTACGACAGTAATTTTTACTAGTCACCTAAAGTATAGTAAAGATAATAGCAAAATCCGTCGTTTTTTTCTTATCGCCAGAACAAGTTGGCTTACAAAAACCTAAATAAAAACAAAAAAATAATAAGTTTTACATTGTTTTCTTTTTTTCAACTAAATAAAAAAATCTTTTTTCATAAAACAAAAAATACTCTTAACTTATTTTTGTTAAATTTGACACCTACTCAATTACTTGCACGAATTACAAACAATATTTGCACAAGTCATGCATATTCATTCATTAGATATTTCAGAGCTTGTATCATGTTCACTTTCTGTAACGAAGTCATCATCACTATATGGAAACTCATTGTCAGAACGTGTTTCAGGATCATGAGCAAACAAGGAATTTCGATCAATTTGTTCATCATTTCTATATAATTCCTCATTCAGTCATTGTTCTATTACGTCTTCCTCATTTACAGATACCCTTTTGCGATTTGCCATCGTGATGAACTAAAACAACTAAAAAAAATAAAAGGAATACAAAAAAATAAAAAAGTTACGTATCTATAGTCCTGGGTCCATTGGACCTACCAATACGCCAATACGCACCTTTGCAGTGGTGATCGAAATGCGTCCGTCTTACGGCGTACACTTCGGCGTACTGGAGGAAGGTACTGAGAAGCTAGAAGGAGTATGTTGTTCGGCGCGGTGTATACTGAACTTTGAAAATTTAACCTGGGTCCATTGGACCCACTAATTGCAGCTAACAACGCTTTATCAGTTCCTTCCTTATCTATTTTAACATTTTTCAATGCTTTAAATATCGTTCTATCTTTTCATTTGCTTCTTCAACTCTTACCCACATTTTCCATTGAATTTTATCGGTATCTTTATCAACATTACATTAGAACTAATTTTGAAACTACAGCATTGTTTGCAAGTTCCATACATAACTGGCTTGTTCATTGGGGTTGCAAACTGTAGCTGCAATAAAGTGGCTCATGCTGACGTTGTTAATAGTGCATTGGTCTTATACACGGGATAAGTAAAACATACTTCGCGTCCACTTACAGAAGGTTTTACAACACAAAATGGTTTGTTTTTTGCAAACTAATAGTATGAACACTCATTCGGATTTTCTTCTTCAAATGTAATAAAAAAATAATAAAATACCCTTTTCTACTGTTTTGAAATGATGCGCCTCGGATCTTATTCTGTGAGTGGCTGAGTTTCTGAAGTTTCTGGGCCCATGGCCTGGTACTCGAACGAACTGAATGTTCGGTGACATATTTTTGGCCTTGATATAGTTAGGTAGTCCTGGCCCTTCTTTTCCTATATTACGAGTACAGAGTCCCCAGTCGGAAACTCGAATCCTTAGATCCTGAGAGGCGCTTCCTGCGGTAATATGTCACACGGTCTGTAGCCTAGCATGTTACGATTAGGCTGTGCTCCTGCCGGTAACAACTCTAAAGGCAGAGCCGGAATCCCCGGTTCACAATATTGCCTCCTTGAATATAATATACTCCGTGCTGTTACTAATGGACTGACGTAGCACTCGTGTAGCACTCGTACACGTTATGGTTTTCGGGGGTAATTGGTCAAAATGAGCCAGGGGAACATCACCCTGCTGTTCCTGCGATACGGCAATGTCTGGAAGGTTAAATTGGATCTTTTCGACATTTGAAGTTGTAGTATTACCAATACTGGCTGGTTGTCCGGCATGATTAAATCCTCGGGCAGCAAATCTTTGGTACAGGCGTGCTTCCATTTTACGTTCTCCGTTTTCTGTGCATAGATCAATGAGATAGCAGTTCATAATAGTGCACATAGCATGCTGGAACATTGAGAACAGCATTCTTCTATCCAGCCTAGGCTCGGTGCCGCGCAATATTTCGTAGGTGCGCTTGACCTGATGTAGCCGGATAGATCAACGTTTTGGCTGTATATTTCTTGTACGGGAATGGAGTAATTTGGGGCCTTAAATCATAAAGGGCTTCACCGACGGGAGCGATAGCGGTTTTTGACCGAAAATCATAGCTGGCGGCAGCTTCATCCGGTTTCTCTTCGGACTTTCCTTTCATCGCAGCTTTCTTCTCTTTTCACGCATGAGAGCGTGCGTTGTGCTTACCTGATCTCTTCGGTCTCTCCTCGAATGGGCGGCTTTCGGTCCAGTTATTCTCTACTCCATGTTGCTGATATTCATACGCTCTCCTCTGATCACGCCTATCCATAGAAGGCTTATCTCCCTGAACGGCTTGCGTTTGCAATTGTGGCCTTCCGTTATAACGGCAATCTGAAATCCTTTCTGTAAACTAAGTTCAATATACTTTTATATATATCTTCAATTTTTATTTAACCCGGCGTCATGGGGGTGGAAAAGTGTTACACGGACCTTGGGGTGGGTCTCACCGACCGGTTTATTAATGTCAAAATTATTCCAATACTGTAAAAAAGTAATTTCTTCTATAGTATCTAAGTAAATAAATGAAACACAAATATATTATATTTATTTTTAATTAAAGGAACTTAAAAAAAGAACACGTCCTTTTCTTCTATTTAAATGTAATTATATTATTAATTAACAAACAGCCTTAATTTTTTAATGTCACTTTTTTGTAGGACACTAAATTAACTTAAGTAAAAAAAAATCAATTCGTATCTTTGGTACAGTCGGCACAGAAAGGTACTATATGTTCTACACAAATATATTTGTTGCAACTCTCGCAGGTGTAGTTTGTCTTACGGTCCGTTTTGGATGAACACACTTGGCAACGTTTGCGAACATTAGGCTTTTTTGCTGGTGGTTCCCCTGAAGATTCACCAACAAATTGTCCAATTTTCTGTCGCAACTCACGTGGAAGCACTGATACATTTTGGCGAAGTTTTAGGTGTTCCATAACAAGACTGAGACCTAGTTGTTTTATAAATCGCCTTCGTTTTGTTTTTGAACAATTATTATTTATTTTGTTTATTATTAGGCCATTAATAGCAGCTACGTTCAACGAGGCATAAAAAATTGTCAATGGCCACCTTTTAGAATTACGACTTACGTCGTACGTAGCACATAGCTCGTCGGCTACATCCACACCGCATTTTGTCGTATTATAATATGTATTTATTTCAGGTTTGCGCTGTTCTGTTGTTGTTTCATCAATCTTGTTGTCGTGATGTAAACTGGGCATCAGCAATACTATTTTGTTCTTTTTAGTCACATGAGTGACAAGTGTGACATCCTTTTGAAAACCAAATCGAGATGAGAAAACTTCAACTCCGCGAGTTTTAGTGAATCCTATTGGAACTTGTCTTTTATTTTTGCGTAGGGTACCAGCTGATGTCAAGTTATGTTTTTTGAGCAAATGCTGCACCAGTTCATAACTAGTGAACCAGTTATCAAAGGTAACGTTTCTGTTTGTTCTTGTAATTGGCTGTACAATCCGGTCAACAACATCAATTGGCTTGTTACTGGCAGAATAAGGGTCTCCAGGCTGCTTCCCAGGATATATCTCTAAGTTTTTTATATAAAAATCTCTTGCGTCGACTAGAGCAATGATTTTTATATATATAGCAGTATATATATTGACGAAATTTACACCTACCTCGGAAAGCTACAAGCATTTCGTCAATTGTTAGACAATCACTTGGTGTATAAGTTTTTTTACAATTTTCAACTAATGCTTCAAAAAATTATCTAATTGGAGCCAGATTGTCTAGTTGCTGTCTTTGCTCACGAGTAGAATAATCATCAAACGTCAAAGAACTCTGAATAAAATGAAATCTCTGCAAAGACATTACAAGCCGAAAAATATCCACACCTGTGCCATCAGTAGCCCATAAATCGCTCAAATTTTACCTTCCCGATCGGTAAAGACCAGCTAGATAAAGGAGGCCTATAAAAGCTTTCAATTCAATTATAGTACATTCTTTTACAAAGGTGTACTTAGATAAATTAGTACATGAAGCTATTTTGGGTATAATGCGTGCATTAGTATGCATAAGTATGATTTGCAGCATATCCTCAGTAATGAAAAGATTCCAGCATTCCACTTCAGACGTCGCCGATTTTGCTTCTGGGACGACACCTGGCAATTGATGGATTATGTTTTCAGTTCTGGTTCTGACATTTTTTATACCACATCGTACCATCTTTGCCACAATAAAAACCCGAAGGACACTCACGGTTTGCGTAACGACTTCTATGCAATAGAGTAGACAGTGAAATGTCATTATCATCAGCCTCTGCGATATTTTGTTCTGTGTCACTAGGATTACTACGCTTACTCAAGTGATCTTCTTCGTCACACACATCCTGGTCTGACAACTCAGAATCAGAGTCAGATTCTTGTAAAATTGCAAAAATACACTGTCGTTCTATCTCTTCGCGATCCATTTTTTACTAAGTACCTACAAAAATACAAATAAAATACATTGAACTATATATATATATATATATATATATATATATATATATATATAATCAGTAAATACAATTGTAAACAACAACAAAAAATCAAATATAAAAGGATAAAAACACAGATAATAAGTAAAAAATATCTGTACAAAATGGCGTGAAATTGTTACACTGACTGCGGGGATGGGTCTCACCTACCTTATTCAATTTTGTGCACCTGTAACTCCCACTGCGGCTGTGCCACGACTAACATGTTGCTTGAGAAGCATAGAACAACTCAACAGTTGCAGCTATTAAGAAAAACGGCAACGTCCCGCATAGTAACCGAACTACAAGCGCAATAAAATGTGACGGGTCGCACAGACCCAACCCCCATGACGCCGGGTTAAACATATTGCCAATAGTTTAGAATCAAACGATATTAGGTAAGGAAAGGTATGTTTGCGATAAAAAATGAAACATACGCATTATATAATTTCTCAAAAACAATGCAACAAATCACTTATTATTTGAAGTAACTACCTAGATCACTTATCTGAACAAAACTCTGATAAGTTTTATAATAAATGACAAACAAACATACAAGGTTATCTAAGGTAAGTTGGCGACATAGTCCGGTAGATTGGTGATAGTAGATAGGAAATATAGTGATATTTTGGAAACTGTGAATATAGTCAAATATGTTGAGTATAAGACTTCACATAAGCCACACTCCCAATCATCTTCTTCTTTACTTTTTTTTGTTTTAGATGCAGATTTACTCGAAGTGGAAGGCTGAGACTGAAGCTCTTCTTGCATAACATTTTCATTAGTCAGTGTTAAGCATTTCGCACTAGAGTCTCTTTTTCTTGACCTCTCTGGACGTCCTAAAGCTTTGGGTGTTTTTAAAATGTCGTCTACTGTGAGTTCAAGTTTTGAAGTACAACTTTCAGATGCTGCGTTTGTTGAAGTTGCTTCTTTTGGAACTACATTGTCGTTTAAAGGGCATATGCCTTTTTTTTAAAGCATTCTCGATGTTTTTTTTAGTAAAGGCGCTTATAAATGCTGGATTCATTATGGAATGGAAGTTGCTACAATTTGGAGCATCTCTAGGGTTATCGTTCATGTACCGATTCATGCTGTCGCGCCAGTAACTCTTAAGTGGCTTAAATATTCCTACATCAAGTGGCTGCAATAGATGCGTGCTATGAGCTGGGAAAGTAAATAAATAAACTTGATTATCTTTCGCAACTTTAAGAACTTCTGCTTCAATATGTGCAGAATGTGAGTCCATAAGTAAGACCACAGGACGTTCAGGCGGTATAGCAGTTATAAAAAAATTAAACCATTCGTAAAATAATTCAGAATTGATCCATCCCGTAGGAGATAGTTTAATTAATGCGTTGGGAAGTGCACCATTTTTGAGTGTATCATTCCACCTAACACCTTTAAAAATTATCATAGGAGAAATCCATGTTCCGTCTGCACAAATGCAAGCTAACGTTGTTTGAGTTTGACCTCGTTCAGCGTAGGATATTTTATAAACATACTTTTTACCAATACCGGTAACAACTTTAAATGGTTTCACTACATATAGATAATCCAGTCTCATCACAATTCCAAATTAAATTCGGTTTGTTTTTTATATTAAGTTTAGTGAGAAGATCATCTAGTTTCGAAAAGAAATCTTTGATCATAACTTCATTAGCCATAGAAACTCTGTAGGCCGAAAGATTCTCTGGCACACGAAGGCACAAATTGTACCTACTCTTGAAGCTATTCCACCACCATTTGCTTGCTACGCGATTATCTGATGGTAAGAAGTTCTCCCGACCGGCCAATTCAGCAATATATAAGCATATTTTCTTATTTGGTAAACAGTTAGCCCAAATCCCAATTCTTGCATTTCTATAATATAATTAGAAAGTTTTAACTCTAAGTCAGAATACAGAGCATAAGGCCGCCCCATTTTTTTTACAGAATCCTCTTCATTTTCCAGATAACGCTTCAAAGTGCTCCATGGAACGCCTGCTTCTTTAGCAACTTTGTATATTCTTACCTTCATCTTTTACTAATCTGACAGCTTTTTGAAGTTGCTGCTGATTGTATTTTCAGTATTTACTTCCTTTTTCCATTGCCAATCTGCTAATCAAAAATCTCGTACAGGTAATTTGGTGATAAAAAAAATAATAATAAATTCCAAAATAACATACACTTACGGATTCCTCAAAACAATATCTTTCGAATGATATATTAGACTTTGATGGTTTATTTTAAGTAAAAGAGCAAATTATGTTTAAAAATAGCATCGTAAAATGGTACCGATTTTTTTTGCTAAAACACTAAGAAACAACGGTCACAAATTAAGGAATAAAAACTTAGCTTGACTGAATCACGACTTTACTGTAACTTTAGCTTGATGATTATTAGTTTATTTGTTAGTTTTATATAGTTTTATCACTAAATCTGCAATTAGTATAAGTAAATTTTATCCAAATACGTAAACGCAACCCGAATCCACTAAACAATGGCGCCACAGCTGCGCAACTGTCAAAAAAGTTCACTCACCTGACGCTGCGACGACTTAGCGGAGCGCGTGCAATATATCTGTCCCCCTCACACTTGTAACAACTTGATAGCGCGTGATGCGCGATTCCGTGGCATTCCGTATAAAAAATATCACCAAATTACTTATATCACCAATATACCTTTCCTTACCTACCGAGTATAAACTCACTTGTTTAAGTTCTTTTCACTACATACTGGGTGGATTAGTGCATTTCATTTGTGCACAGGCAACTTTAGCCTCTGCAAGCATCATGACTTCGTTCACTAATTGGCTGAATGGTCGTGTCCCAATAGATACCATACGGCGCCATAATGCGCTGACGAATCTGGGCAAAGCCCGAAAGGTGATAGGAACGGCCGCCGGTGCCACACTAGAGCGTAACTTGATGGCGCTGACTGTAGTTGGGTCCGACACATGCAACCGCTTGAGTAATGACGCGGTTAGCTGGACCTGAAACTCTTGGTTCTTCTTGGTGCGGAACTTCTCGAATTTTCGGTTCTTCGCGCCTTTTCGTTGGGGTTTCTTGCCGCTGGGAGCGGATCCTCGTTGAGTCTCGCCGGTAATGATTTCTGGTTTACTATCCATAATCTAACCTAGAATATGCTGCAATAGGTAATGATATCTGGTACACGTGAATGTAACAGACGGGATGTTATTAGGATAACCAGTACGTCCAACAGGTACGTGTTAGGTTGCCCTAAAATCGTATGGCAATTCGTATGGCAATTCACAATGCTGTGTTGGTCCCTACTTTAACGTATGGTAGTGAAAGTTGGGTGTGGCAGAAAAAGCACGAGAGTAGAATGAACGCAGTAGAAATGCGGTCGTTAAGGAGTATGTTAGGGCTGAATCTGAATGACAGGGTAAGAAATTGTGTAATAAGAGAAGTGTGGGTTGCAAGATGATGTTGTGACCAGGATTAAGAAAGAAATGCTCCGGTGGTTTGGTCATGTAGAAAGAATGAATGAGGAAAGAGTGACAAAGAAAATTTATGTTGCAGAAGTGAATGGAAGAGTCGGAAAGGGACGTCCTAGGCGAAAATTTATCGACCAAATTGGCGATTTATTGAAAACGGGCCAAATTAGGAGTACCCTTAACCGACGAGCATGTATGCGTAGGTGTATAGATGTGAAGGAGGCGAGAGAGGTGTGTCAGGATCGTGCCAAATGGAAGTCTGTAGTCTCTGCCTACCCCTCTGGGTGACAGGCGTGAGTGTTTATGTATGTATGTATGTACATTAGATTAGATAGATTATCAAACTTATTTCTTGTACCGCCCCCTTTGAAAATCAATTATTTTACAGCACCCCTAATTTTTATACACTTGTGAAACTTAAAAACCACAATTTCATAACTTTAATTAATTGAGTTATGGTGTGCTATTAGTCGGTTCTGGTGTTTAAACTTACATTCTCAACTATACATTATTACCAGTGTGAGCAATTAAAACGCAACTTCATAATATTAAGAATATATTTTAATAAAATGAAAAGAAGCAATATAGATGGTAATCAATTTTAGTTTTGAAACTAATCTAATGAGATGGATGAATTTGATGATTTTAACAAGTTTGTTGACATCAGGTTCGATTTTACTCAAAAGCAGACTGTAAGTCGCCGTGTTAGTAACAGCAAACGCTTTCTTTTTTAGTAAGCAGCGTTGTCACAGCGCTAAATCCACGTTCACACAAATATGACGATGGGAATGCTGTCAAAAATGCGATCATAATCCAGGGTACAACTGGGGGTTTGACTTTTGTAGTCAAAATTTTATTTCCTCGTTCGTTGTCAGTTCTATTAGTTCTTCTTCCAGTTGGGGTGATATTGCTATATTTTCATTTGAAAAAGGATCTAACACCCAGTCTGGTATTTCCAAATTCAAAATGTTCTGGAGTCTTTCAATGAAATCACTGTGAAGATTTTCCAAATGTTGGCAGTAGACAAGCTAGTCGTCGTCGTTGCAGTATACTGATAAATTGGGAAAATTATATACTCACGTCTGCCGATATTCTCCCAGTGTAAGAGCAGCTTAGCTACGAAAGCAGCGACGACATTTTTTGTTTTTATTATGTTCAAATCATCGCCTTGAAATTGGAGATTCATATCATTAAACAATTTATAAAGGTCTGTCAGGCATGCGATATCATTCTTTGATGTGATGAGGTTGTTGCGCAATTCTGTGTCTTTGTTTTCCAAGAACTCTACGACAGAGTCAAACAGATTGTATAATCGAGTCAGAAAATTTCATTTTGATAGCCAACGCACTTTTAATGTTTAATAAATAATAGTATTCAGTCTTCATAATGAAAAATTTTGAAGTAGTTTCTTTCTTTAGTAAGACGTAAATGTACATTGTGGAAATTTGTTTGCTCTGCAGTAGAATTAATCAACTCATGGGGAAATTAATACAGAAAAAACTGTATTAGTGTATCAAGCTCTAAAATTTCAGAGGGCAATGTTTCTTTACCCGTAAAACATAGCTGCTGTTTATTTAATAAGTTTTTCTTTCTCCAACGTAGATTTAATTTTGTTTTTTGACGATTTGTTTGCGCCACGGCTGGTGTTGGTGAGCAAGATGTTGACGGAGCAGACTCTGGCCCTGGCATTGTACTTTGGTTAGCGTTAGCAACCTCTATATCCTCAACAAAACCCATCATCAGAAAAGACTGCAGACTACAAATCTGGCTGAAAATCGGGATCATCTATGCTGTCGTCGTCATTTTAGAATTCATCTTCACTGTTCTCATCATCATAATCATCATCATCATCATTACAGCCCCTCACAAGTCCACTGCTGAACATAGGCCTCCCCCAAGTAATGCCACAAAGCACGGTCCTGAGCCACCTGCATCCATCGACTTCCTGCATATCTTACCAGGTCGTCACTCCATCTAGTGGGGGGTCGCCCTACACTACGCCTACCGGTACGAGGCTGCCACTCGAGAACCTTTCTTCCTCTATCGTTTCGCATCCGGCCCATGACTTCAGCTTACTAATCCGTTGGGCTATGTCGGTCACTCCGGTTTTACTGCGGATATCCTCATTCTGAGTCTATCACGCAGAGAAACTTTGAGCATAGCCCACTCCATAGCTCGCCGAGCGACCTTGAGCGTCCTCATACGGCCAGCAGTGAAGGACCACGTCTCAGATCCGTAAGTCATCACTGGCAACACGCACTGGTTGTACAATCTAGTTTTTAGAGATTGAGGTATACCTGACGAGAAGATGTGTCGTAATTTCCCGAACGCTGCCCAGCCGAGTTGAATCCGTCGATTGACCTCTCGGTCGAAGTTGGACTTACCTAGTCGGACTATTTGTCCCAGGTAAACGTACTCGTCAACAACTTCGAGCATAGTACTCCCAACAACTACCGGCATAGGTGTGACATGGACATTAAACATGATCTTTGTTTTGTCCATGTTCATCTTAAGACCTATCCGTTGGGAAGGCACTATTGAGGTCATTGAGCATAGTGCTTAAGTCCTCCAGCGATTCTGCCATAAGGACTATATCGTCGGCAAATCGAAGGTGAGTGATGTACTCGCCATTGATGTTAATACCTATCCTTTCCAGTCCAGTAGCTTGAAAACGTCTTCCAATGCAGCGGTGAAGAGTTTCGGGGATATAACGTCACCCTGTCTTACACCTCTCTGCAGTTGGATAGGTTTCGAGCTCTGGTTCTGTACTCGGATAGCCATCGTAGCCCTACTGTACAGACACTTCAGCACTTCGATATACCGACACTCAACTTGGCACCGCTGAAGGGACTGTAGCACCGCCCAAATTTCGACGGAATCAAAGGCTTTCTCATAGTCCACATACGCCAGGCAAAGTGGCAGATTGTACTCTTCGGACTTCTGTACAATCTGCCGAAGGTATGTATGTGGTCTATGGTACTGAAGCCTTTTCGGAAACCGGCTTGTTCGGGAGACTGGAAGTCGTCGAGTCTGCGTGCGAGACGATTCGTAATGACTCTCGAAAACAGCACGTAGACGCGGCTCAGAAGGGAAATTCGGTCTGTAGTTCTTCAAGAGAGCGTTGTCGCCTTTCTTAAAGAACAAGACCACCGCACTTCTGCTCCACACCTCTAGAGTAGTGCCACCATGGAGGACGAATGAAACCCGATAAGTACCGGTGTTCCACCCGCTTTCAAAAGCTCCGCTGTAATTCCATCCTCGCCTGGGGCCCTGCCGTTTTTAAGGTGCTGGAGAGCCATTCTAATCTCGCTTAGACTGACGTCCAGGATATCATGGGAATAGTGTCGGATAAGACTTGTTCTTGGATCGTGAACGATAAAATCGTTACTCACACTTGCGTGTGGCTCCAACGATGATGTTTACAGCTACCCATAGAACCTCTCAATCTCACTCAAAATCTCAGGTGTCCCGGAAACGATGGTGCCACACTCAGTCTTCAGCTTTGACAGTTGGCTCTTACTGGCAGACAGATCTCTGGCAAAGACTGGAGCCCTGGTTCCGCTCGATCGCTTCTTTAATACGAGCAGTATTAAAGTTGCGTAAGTCTCGCCGCATGCATTTGGAGATCTGTCTGTTCAGTTGCCTGTATGCTGTCAAATCTGTTGACGATTGCAGCCTCATCTCCCGTCTAACAGCCATGAGATTAAGAGTGTGATCGGAGAGTTTTTGTGTTATTCTGCGGCGGGTCTTGCAGAACTTAGCTCCGACCGCATGGACAGTTTCCACGAGCTTGTCATTCATATCGTCCACTGCATTGCAATCTTGTAGGCACTGAAAGCGGTTACGTAACTCGAGCTTAAAGTTTTCGGGATTCTGGATTAGAGCACGAGGGGGACGGAGCGTTGGCTTTATTAGACAAGACCTCTCTAACTTAACGTTTAGGTTCAGTGTGCCTCTAACCATTCGGTGATCGCTGATTTTTGTCGAACCGTCGGGGCTCGACCAGGTCCATTTGCTGTGGGGCCGCTTCTGGAAGAAAGAGTTCATCATAAAGAGTCCCTCTTTCTCCATAAAGTCGGCCAGCTGCTGGCCCCTTCGATTCCGTTGCCCTACTCCAAATTTCCCTAACTTCAGCTGTTCAGCAAAATCGGGATCAGCTATGCTGTCTTCGTCATTTTAGAATTCATCTTCACTGTTCTCATCACTATTTAATATTTTATTTATTTCGTCATCATTGAGTGGATGCTGAGCTGAGATATTTAATATTTTGTTTATTTTGTCATCATTGAGTGGATGCTGAGTCATCCTGAAATAATAAAAATACATTCTTCATAAACTCAATCAAATAAATCATCATTCGAACATAAATATTTTGATTGATTACGTAAGAACAACAGATTTTCTAAAAAATCATTATAAAACTCATTAATTAGATACTACCTTACAAAAAAACATAAAACCACCACTTTTTAATGAAAAATAGAATTTTTATCGATTTTATTACATGTAACAAACACACTGCTCTACCTCACTTCGTAATAGTTCAATGTAAGGTAAGTAACGCCATCTAGATTTTTTGTGCTGAAATTATTTCTAACAAGCAGCATGTGCAGTGTAGCAGATATGTTACAGCGATCAGTAAAGGAATACATCAATGATTTGAATTTTTC